TTTTGAGATATATTCCCTCTAAGCCTACTTTGTTGAGGGATTTTATCAAGAATGGATGCTGTGGAGTGCCTGGGTGGCTCATTCAGTTAAGTGTCTGCCTTCAGCTCAGATCATGATCCCGGAATCCTGGGATGGAGCCCCACATCAGGCTCTCTGCTCAGCAGGGAGCCTGCTTCTCCCTCTCCCTCTGCCCCTACCCCTCCACCCCCAGCTCATGCTCTCTCACAAGTAAGTTAGTAAGTAAATAAATAAATAAATCTTTTAAAAAAGACAATGGATACTGTACTTTGTCACATGCTTTTTCTGCATTTACTGAGAGGATCATCTGGTTCTTCCTTTCATTAATGTGGTGTATCACATTGATTGATTTGCGAATATTGAACCATGCCTGCAGCCCAGGAATAAATCCCACTTGATCATGGTGAATACTTCTTTTAATGTACTTTTGGATTCGATTTGCTAGTATCTTGTTGAGAGTTTTTACATCCATGTTCATCAGGGATGGTCTCCTTTTCAGTGGGGTGTTTGTCTGGTTTCTAATCAAGGTAATGCTGGCCTTGTAGAATGAGTTGGAAGTTTTCCTTCCATTTCTATGTTTTGGAACAGTTTGAGAAAAATAGCTATTAACTCCTCTTTAAATGTCTGATAGAATTCCACTGGGAAACCATCTGGCCTTGGACTTTTGTTTGTTGGGAGATTTTTGATTACTGATTCAATTTCATTACTGGTTATGCATCTGTTCAACTTTTCTATTTCTTCCTGTTTCAGTTTCGGTAGTTTGTATGTTCCTAGTAATTGGTCCATTTCTTCCTATTTGCCCAATTTCTTGGCATATAATTTTCATAATATTCTCTTATAATTGTTTGTATATCTGTGCTGTTGGTTGTGATCTCTCCTCTTTTGTTCGTGATTTTATTTGTTTGGGTCTTTTCTCTTTTCTCTTTAATAAGTCTGGCCAGGGGGTTATCAATTTTATTAATTCTTTCAAAGAGCCAGCTCTTAGTTTCATATATCTCTTCTGTTTTTTTTTTATATCAGTTATTTCTGTTCTAATCCTTATTATTTCCCTTCTTCTGCTAGCTTTAGGTTTTATTTGATATTCCTTTTCTAGCTCCTTTAGGTATAAGGTTAGGTTGTGTACTTCTTTTCTTGCTTCTAGAGGTAGGTCTGTATTGCAATATACTTTTCTCTTAGGACAACTTTTGCTGTATCCTAGAGGTTTTGGATTGTCGTGTTTTCATTTTCATTTGCCTCCATGTAATTTTTTATTTCTTCTTTAATTTTGTGGTTGACCCATTCATTCTTTAGTAGCATGTTTTTTAGCCTCCATGTGTTTGTGGTCTTTCCAAATTTTTTCTTATGGTTGAATTCAAGTTTCATGGTATTGTGGTCCAAAAATATGCAGGGAATGATCTCAATGGTTTTGTACTTGTTGAGACCTGATTTGTGACGCAGTATGTGATCTATTCTGGAGAATGTTCCATGTACACTCAAAAAGAATGTGTATTCTGCTGCTTTAAGATGAAATGTTCTAAACATATCTGTTAAGTCCACGTGGTCCAGTGTGTCACTCAAAATCATTGTTTCCTTGTTTGATTTTCTGCTTAGATCATCTGTCCATTGCTATTAAGTGGGGTGTTAAAGTCCCCTATTGTTATTGTATTATCACAATGAGTTTTTTTATGTTTGTTATTAATTGATTTCTATATTTGGGTGCTTCCAAGTTGGGGCATACATATTTACAATTGTTAGATCTTCTTGATGTGTAGACCTCTTAATTATGATATAATGCCCTTCTTCATCTCTGTTATAGTCTTTGTTTTAAAATCTAGTTTGTCTGATATAAGTATGGCTACTCTGGCTTTCTTTTGATGTCCATTAGCATGATAGATGGTTCTCCATTCCTTCACTTTCAATCTGCAGGTATCTTTAGGTGTAAAATGAGGCTCTTGTGGACATCACATAGATGGGTCTTGTGTTTTTATCCATTCTGATACCCTGTGTCTTGATTGGAGTATTTAGTTCATTTACATTTAGAGTGACTATTGATAGATATGAATTTAGTGACATTGTGTTACCTGTAAAGTTGGTATATCTGATGATGTTCTCTGTTTCTTTCTAGTCTTTGTTGCTTTTGTTCTTTCTTTTCCCCACTCATTGAGTCCCCCAGAGAGGCCATGCCACAACTCCCAAAGGTACTCCCCAAAGGGGGAACTGTTTCTCCCCATGTGACCCAGGGGATCCTTAGACCACACTGCACACTCCTGGGCCTCTGCCCTCCTTCCCCACCAGACCACCACTAAGCCTGCCAGGCACGACCCCAGCGATGGTGCAGACGTCTAGAATTTAAGATTTTGAGCTCCACTGCTTATAAAGACTTGTGGTAGTCAGCCCCTCTCCTTTTCCCAGTCACTGGTTTTGGGAAAGAGTTTTTCTTGTGCAACCCCCTGCCTGCTGCTTCACTATCTCTCTTGCTCCTTTCTCTGCGATCAGGGCTCCCTCCCCTTTGCAGCACCTGCAGTTCTTTTCTCCTCCCAAATCACCTCTCGGCAGCTCCTACCTTCTATGATGTGGACATTTTTCTACCTCTAGATGTGCAGTTTGTTCTTAGTCCTCAGATCAATTTCTTGGGTGTTCAGAATGATTTGATAGTTATCTAGCTGTATTCAAGGGATGAGGCAAGCTTAGGGTCCCCCTACTCCTCCACCATCTTAACTCCTCTTCTAGGAAAGAACTTTTTAAGTGAGACTCTGAAAGCGTAAACCATAAGGAAGGAGACGACAAGTTTGACTAGATTAAAATTAAGAACTTTTGTTTGTCTAAAAAACATTAAAGAGTGAAAAGACAAGCCTCAAAAGTGGAAGAAAAAAATTTCAACGCATGCAATAAAACAAAAAACGTTAGTAATCTGAACACTTAAAGAAATCCTATGAATCAGAGAAAAGCAAACATCCTAATATAAAAATGGACAGAAAACCAAGCACTTTAAGAAGAAGAAAGCAAATGACCAATAAACAAATGTAAAGATGATAGACATACTAATATTCAGGAAAATGCAAATTTAAAACACCAGGGAAATACCATTTATACCCACTGGATTTGCAAAAAATGAAAAATTCTGACAAAATCAGGCATTGGTGAGAATGGGCAGGAACTGAAACACTTACCACCTGCTGGTAAAGCAGAACGTGTGGACACCCACAGCAGTTCCATTCCCAGGCATATGCCAGTTTATCATTTGTCTCCTTTATGATTTGCATATTTTGAGATGCATTTAAGAAGTCCTTTCCTACCTAGAGGTCATGCAGATACTTGCCTATATTTTCTCCCAAACATTACAGTTTTGCCTTCCGTATTTAAACCCTTAATCCATCTTTACTTGATTCTGTACATGCGTGCCAGAAGACACACGAGCATGTTTATAGGACAATGTTCAAGATAGCAAAAACCTTGAAATAATCCAAATATTTATTGACAGTAACATTGGGTCAGTAAACTGTGGTGTTGGCACACAGCATGAAGCTATGCAGCAGGGAACATGAATAAACACAGCTACAGGTTCCCACGTGGATGAATCCTAGAAATATGTTGAGTAAAAGAAGCAAGTCACAAAGGAATATGTGATATGATTCCATTAAATTAAATTTCAAAAGTTGAAGTTAAAGAAAAGGTTAAAGGTCAAAACCATAAGTGGCAAAGCTATAAAGAAAAGTGAGTCACAGATTCTCACCAGGTCAGAGTAGTGGCTGCTCTTGGAGGAAGGAAGGGGTTGTGGACAGGGATGGACAAATGGGGGTTTCTAGTATACTGGGGCAAGGTTGTGTTTCTCAATCTAGTAGACTGTATGTGAGTGTTTATTTGTTAAACTATTTTATACACTCTTCAATATGATTAATACTGAAAACTAAAGACAGAAAGAAATGAGAAACAGAGGCTCAGAGAAGTGAAATGACTGCCCAGTCAAGGCCATTCAGTTAGTGTGTGGCAGAGGTGTGGTGTTAATCCTATTTTCCGATGCCAGATGCCATGCTTCTTACAGAATCCTTGTCCCACAGGAAGTCAGGGATCTAGAATACGGGATTTCAGGAAGCAAAAGGGCCTTGCAGGCATCAAACACAACCAACCCTGACTTCATAGGACAATTTGATGGTCCCTCAGGGCTACTCTTCTTTGGTCCACGTGAACGAACCCCAGTTTCTTTAGCTGCTCCACCCTTCATAAACCTGCTCTGCATCTCTGAGCAAATATTCCTGTTTGCATTCCTCTGAAAATACCATGCTCAGAACTGAAGGTATTATTCAACATGCAGTCTCACTGGAGTGAAGTAGAGTAAATCTGTTTTTTGCAGTCTAAAACCAAAAACACTGAGAATTTAAGAACAGTCTATAAATCTACAGCCCAGTCCTTCCTGAGGGTGACTGTGTCAGATTGTCATTGTGCTGGGTGTTTCCAAGGGACCATTATATCACCAGCCCAGGCCAGGGTCTCAAGATGTGGATCCTGATTCCAATTCTATCAACAACCAATCCGTGTGACCTTGAACAATTTCCCTTCCTAGTCTTGGTCCGGTCTCCATATCTGTGATATGAGCAAGTAGTCTCTAAATTCTTTTCCAGCCCTTATGTGCTTCAGGGTGAGTGCTATTTTATGGACTCCAGAGCCAGGCTGCTCAGGTTCAAATCTCAGATCCACCCACATACAAGCTGTGCGACCTTGGGCAAGTTACTAAACTCAGAACGGGAATAATGATAATATCTATCTGAGATCCTTTTCCATAGGATGTGGGGAAGATTAAGTGAGTTAATACATATAAAACACTTATCACTACACACTAAGCTTTGATGGCCCCACTCCTGACTTCCAGTCTTAGCTGATTCCTTGAGAAAAATTCTTAATGTCACCCAGCTTACTCTGTCTTATCATGATTTATTCACTGGGATAAATATGCACCTTGTAATCTTTTCATAAGTGTGCACCTTCAATCTTGTTTTATTTTCCAGGACTTATTGGCTGTGGGTACTTTGATCCTTGCAGAAAGTTCAAACTTGAAGTATGTGAGATGATTGCAAATTTAGTTTCAGCAGGCAGAGTGCTGTGGCAGTGGACGAAGGTACAGAAGCGTTGTCCGTAATAACAGAAAGTCAACTATTACTCAGTCCGTTCTCACCTCATGGCTCATGAACTTATCATCACATCATGGAGCAGTGGGGTTTTTTTGAAAATGACAAATTAGGTGCTCAAATAGATTTATGACACCTTTTCCTTCCAGGGAGCAAATATTCCGACTAGATGATGCTTTCCATATGTATGAGATATTACTATAAACCACACACAGCATCCAAGATAAAGTAGAATTTTGCTAAAATGAGAATACTGCTTTTCCACTCGTTACTCTGATTTGTATGTCAGACATTCACATGTTTACTGGCTGACTGAATACATGAATTTCCGGATGTTCTTAGCTACCTGAGACTTAAAGTCAAACTTGTGTGAGTCTCTGAGATGGAACGGGAATTAGTAAATGAATGGAAGTGTACTTAACAAAATAGATATATATATTTAAATAAGATTTATTTATTTACCTTAGAGAGGGTGGGGGGGAGAAGGAGAGAAAATCTCAAGCGTACTCCATGCTAAGCGTGGAGCCTGACACTGGGCTTGGTCTCACAACCCTGAGATCACAACCTGAGCTGGACACTTAACCAACTGTGCTACCCAGGTGCTCCTAGTCTAGATTTTAATATACAGGTCAGTGCCCTAAGTAAAGCTCAGCAAACCTGTAGCTGTCACCAATGGCTCAAAGCAAACTCATGCAAAAGCAATTAAGCATAGGTCTGTGACATCTCAGACCTAGGCTTAAAACAAGGCTGAGGCATTTGCCAAAAAACATTCATTAGGCCAATTACACATATCTGGGAGGAAGCTTATGTCCTGGGGAAACTTGGAGGGTGTCAACCTCTCAGATTCCTGGGGGAATTCTAGATAAGAGAATTATAAAGAGGAATTAGGTGTTCCTTATGAAATGCTTGGTCCGCACAATGCCCTGTTCCTTGCATGGGGCCCTCCCCTTGCCAACACAGGGTCTTTGCACATGCCATTCTGCCTCTCTTAAAGAAAATTCAAAATGAATGGCCAGGGCTGAGTGTCTGAGATAATTTTCTGTGGTCAGATCCATCCATTGTTCACACTCATGTGATTATATACATATTTTCCTGAAAAGCTTTGGCCTTCTGGGTGTCTTTCCATCAAAGCTTCTCTCGTTATATGAATGTTTACTGGTTCCATTTCGCATCTTTCTTTACCTCTTTAACCTGTTTTCCACAAGCTCTCATTCCACTGCTCTTGTCAGGGTCACCAAAGATCTCAGTCTTGCCAAATCCAGAGGTTGATGTCTTCCTCTTACTTGACTCTTTAGCAGTTTTTGACATAAAGGTCTCCCTCTCGACATGTTTTTCACTTGGTTCCTAAGGGACCTCATGCTCTTGGTTTTCTTCCTACCTGACAAGTTACCTTTTTAAAAGTACCCCCTCTTCTTCCCTTCCTCTAGAGACTGGAGTGCACCCAATCTCAACTCTAGGACCTTTCCCTTGTCTGTATTCTTTACCCAGATGGTTTCTCCAGCTCCAAGGCCTTAAACACCATCTCCGTGCTGCTGACTTCAAAATCCAGGCTTCCATTCCAGGCCTCTCTGCTTGGATCCATACTGATTTCCTACTGCTTAGTAGACATAGCCATTTAGATGTCCAATAACCATCTTAGAGTTAACGTGTCTGCACAGAACTCTTAATTGTCCTTCTAATATGACCTTCCCTCAGACTTTTGCATCTTTTTAGCTAATAGCAACACCACTGATCCTTCTCCTCAGACTAAAAAACTGGTGCCGTCCTTGATTTGTCTCCCTCATCCCTCTACTTCCAATCCATCAGCAAGTGTCAGTTACCATGCTTTCAGAATATATCCCAAAGCTTGAGCACTCTCTGCCGTCTCAGAGTGACCCCCGCTGATAGATGCTTCTATCACCTGCCGTCTGGACCATGCAGCCACTTGCTTTCTTTTTGCCTTCCTAGAGTCTGTTCTTTACACAGTCCTAAAATGCTTTTGAAGGAAGTAAATGAGAAATCATTACTCCTTCTCAAAACCACCAGGAGGCTCCCAGGTACACTTAGAGTGAAACCCAACGCCTTGCTCTGGCCTGTGAAACTCACCCCCTGAGCTGGTCCCTGCTCGCCCCTTCCACCTTCTGCTCCAGCGGCCCTGCCCTCTCGCTGTTCCTCGAACACCCCATGTTTCTTGTGCCTCTGGGCCACCGTACTTTGTTTGGATTCATTCTCATTCTTCTTACCTTCAGAGGGGCTTTCTCAGATCATTGTCTCTAAAGTAACTCCATGGTTCTATCGCAGTCATTATCTGTCTTCTGACCCTACTTTATTTTTTCTGACCATGACTTTTATCATTATTATTTGTCAATTTGTTTGTTTACCAATATATTTGTTTCTTATTTATCTATTGTCAGTCTCCCCCACTAGAACAGAAGCTCCCTGATTTTAGCAGATTGAGCTGCTAGTTACCATGCTGTCTTCTTAGTTACAATGGTATCTTCTTAAGGGCAGCGGGAAGTGTTCAAAAATAGCCACTGAATAATGAATGACTCTTCCTCCCCTCCCCACCCCCAAATAAGCAGCCCTTTTTGTATCTTTTCTTCAAACCTCCCATCCTCACAAAGCACTTTTAACCCTTATATACCACTTCATCTTTATGTCACTTTACACAGCTTTATTTTTTTTTTAAGATTTATTTATTAATTTGAGAGAAAGACAGAGAGAGAGTGGGGGGGAGAGGCAGGGGGAGAGAATCTCAAGCAGACTCCCTGCTGAGTGTGGAGCCCAACATGGGGCTGGAGCCCATGACCTTGAGATCATGACCTGAGATGAAATCAGGAGTTGGCTGCTCAACTGACTCAGGCACCCAGGCACCCCTACTTTACACAGCTTTGAAGCAGAAGCCCAGGGCACCTGGCTGGCTCAGTCGTTAAGCGTCTGCCTTCGGCTCAGGTCATGATCCCCGGGTCCTGGGATCGAGCCTCACATCATCGGGCTCCCTGCTCCGCAGGAAGCCTGCTTCTCCCTCTCCCACTCCCCCTGCTTGTGTTCCCTCTCTTGCTGTGTCTCCCTCTGTCAAATAAATAAATAAAATCTTTAAAAAAAAAAAAAAGGCAGAAGCCCAGGTGAGGAAAGAAAGGAGTTGACAAAAATTAAAGGGAAAGAAGCAGGTTAACACGTGAGAAGAGGGGAAAAAAGGAATTTATTCGATTCTCTTTAATGATTGCCTCAATGGCTGTCATTCCAGTGGCAGTCGTTTACCACAAAGAAATAAGCAATATTCACACAGCCTTAGCCCTTTATTTCTGCATATTTGTAATATGATTTTACATTTTGGTGAGTGGAATGAACATTTTAGCTGGGAATGGAACTGAGCAAAGAGGGAAATTTAAGGGTAATTGGTAAAATAACACTTGTCTTTATTCTCTCTTCCCTGGCTACCTGCTGTTTTAACTTACACCATGAATTAGCCTGTAATGATTATGCTATAAGCTCAATGGAGTACTTTTTCAATGTAGAAAGAGCATATTCCATAAATAGGCCCTAAAAAAAGCATTTGCTTTCCCGAATTAATCTTGTGGGGAGTTTGATTCTCCAGAATTATTGTTTTCACATTCAAAATGCTGCTAATGGTATCAGTTGTAATCTTTATACATGGCCAGCAATGCTTCCCACGCCTAGTACACCTCAAGTTTATCCCTTAACTGGTATCTCTCCGCACAAGAATGTGTCATTGTTATAGCTTTGACTGTTTGGATTCTGAAGTTGGTAGAACTGATAAGTTAGTGTTCAAATAAACAAACAAAACCCAGGAAAGCCACCTCGTCATTATACCTGCATGTCAGACTGGCCTGCCAACTTATTCTAGATAAACAGGTATGTGAAACCATGCTGACTGAGTTTGGATCTCCATGGTGAGATCCAATATATTGTATGATATACAATATATTGGTCGAAATCCAAATATACTAAAGACCTTAAAGTAATCTATGGAAATGGTCATTATTGACTTCAGAAGTGAACTTTCATTGTTCTTAACTGCATGGCAATCAGCTCACACCCAGTTTTTTGTTATGACATATTTCCACGTACACACTAATATGGTTAACAATGATTAGGAATGGTCATTCCCACAACTCACATAGTTTTTAAGAATTCTGGGGAAAGTGACTTGTTCAAAGCCAACTAACGCTGATAGAACAGGCATTGGAATTGGCATCTGAAGTGTTATTCTGGAATGGATCTGATTCAAGAGCTTATGGTCTTTGAAATTCTATGTTGGTTTATTTATGATGTGTTTTTCTCATCAGTGCTGCGACAAAAATATAAACTTAATCTTGGTTTATTTACTCAGCCTACTTCATTTAAAATAAAATTTGTGGAATAAAGTAGTTCTAAAAAGCAGTTCTGCTTTTAGTTTTATCTGAAAAGTAATACATTTTTGTCCATCTCTAGGTGAAGATGCTGCCAACTCCTTCTAAATTTCATTACATTTTCAATCTTCGAGATCTTTCCAGAATTTGGCAAGGAATGTTAACCATAAAAGCCGAGGAGTGTGATTCGATATCTGTTCTCCTATCACTTTTCAAACACGAGTGCAACAGAGTAATTGCAGACAGGTGTATACTACAGCACTTGAGTTTAAATGTACTGTATAAGAAATTGATACTGTGAGACTAATTCCTGCATTATCTACTCAATTAGAGTATTGTCTTAATTTGCTCTGGGGCTTGTGAAGCATTGATGCCATTTCCCACCTGCTGGTCCTCTTAAAAAATGCTCTGCCAGTCTGCTTGAGTATTATTTCCACAGCACATCTTTTTAAATCACCACATCATCAGAGACTTGATAACATTCAGAGGCAAATTTTATTATGTATATTTTCTAGGACGTTTGAGCTCTGTGTAAGTTTTGCTTGGTGTAATCTGGGAACATAGGCTCAGTCATTGTTCTGAGCCTCAGCTTCCTCCTGTATAAAATATGGATGGTGATGCTGATCTTACAAAGCTGTAAGGGCCTACCACAACATCACACACATATTGGTATTTCTCAAATGTTGGTCCCCCTCCTTCCGCTCTTCCCCCTCTGGTACTGTAGGTCTGAAAAGGACATTTCTGTACTGTGTGCTCACAGAACCAGAAAGTGGACGCTCGTCCACTACTGAATGTCATCAGTCTGCACTCCTATTGCAAATTTTAGGGACCTTTGACCCCACCTAAGTGACTCATCTGTATTGTTAAAGAAAAAAAAACTATTCGTGACACTTGTTAAAACAATAAGGCATACAGACTTTATTCAGGATTACCACACTGGGTATATGGACCACCGCGATGGGGTTTTGCAGGAGGTGAGAGAAATTGAGCTGAACTCCAAATACGACAAGGGAAGAGTGGGAATTTATAGCCATGGAGCAGTTTAGGGGACGTCAGTGGATGGAAAACTACTGAGAGGAAATATCAAGTGTAAGGGAGGGATTCTAGCTAAACTGACCTACTAGGATTCTTGCTGAAAGCAGGCTAGGGTGAGTAGATATTTCCTGGGGGGTGATGGGGAATGAGGAATTTGGTCAGATATTGAAGGGTGATTAGATATGGGGAGTGGGAGATTCTGGGATTAAACCCACTTGACAGGATTCTTGGTACAATTGGGCAATGCAAAGAAGGACACAGAAGTCCAAAAGTGAAGGCCTAATTGGGAAGAGGATTCAGAGGAGACTAAGATTGATCAAGGAGAGACTTTTTGCCAGTGTTTTTTTTTTTAAGTAATACTCAATGTTATATCTCTCCTTAATGGAGTTGTGTCCTTGTCTGTTCCCCTGTTCTGAGAAGTCCGTGGTGTAGGATGGGGCCTCAGGAAGTGGAGGGAGGTTGGACATGTTCAATTAGGAAAGATGCCTTCATATTTTACATATTTACTACTGCATTTTTCTTTCAGATTTATAACTCCTGAAGATGAGCAATGGTTTAATATCCATCTTGTTCGAGCAGTTGAAGAGAATATTAACCCAGATGTGACTTCATATATTCTTCCTGAACCATACTTTGTAGATTTTCTCCGTGAGATACCCGAACCAACCGGTGACGAACCTGAGGATACTGTGTTTGAAGTGCCCAAAACTTATGAACTGGTATTTATTTTCACCTTTGAAAAGAGCTTTTCGATCACTCACCTAACTATATTTCTCCGCACCCCAGAGTCCCACCACGGAGTTGTCGTAACTTCTACATTAGTTATTTGTTGTGATTCATGCCATCATACACCAAGTAAAATATTTTAGTGAAATTTAGCAGTAATCCCATTAAAGTCAGGTATAAGACAAGGATGCCTCCTATCATCGCTACTATTTAATATGGTTTTGAAAGTTCTAGGCAATGAAACAAATGACCAAAACAAACAAAAAAAGATGTAATTATCAGATAGGAAAAAAAAAATATTGTGTGCAGATGAGATGATTATCTCTTAATAGAAAAGAACTGAACATCTGTTTTAACTACTAACAGTTCAGTAAGATGACCAAGTGTGAGATAAATACAAAACTCCGTAACTGTCCTCTATATGAAAGGCTGGCAAGTTACAGCTGATGGGCCAGATCCAGCCCTCTGGCTGTGTTTTGTGAGATTTGTAAGCTAAAATTTGCATTTTTTAAATGGGTGGCAAAAGAATCCGAAGAAGAATAATATTGTGTGACCTGTGAAAATTACATGGCATTCAAATGCAGCATTCATACACAGAGTTGTATTGGACCACAGCTACGTGGATTTGTTTCCTTGTGGTCCAGGACCGCTTCTGCACTATGAGGGTGCAGTGGAATAGTTGTGACAAACCCTATGGGCCACAAAGTTTTAATCCTGCCCTTTACAGAAAAAGTTTGCCAACTCTTGGTAACAATCATGAGATAGAAACTATAACAGGAAGGTACTTCATTCAACAGCAACAAGTATGTAAAACATCTAGGGATAAACATGATAAAACTTTACTTGATTAAATGGCAACACATCATTCTCCCTAAATTAATGTATAGGTTTCATGAAGTTTGAAACAGGACTCCAAAAGGATTTTTTTTTCTTTTAGAGAGAGAGAGAGAGAGCGCGTGCATGCACACATGCACACTTGTGTGGGTCAGGGGGAGGGGTAGAGGGAGAGGGAGAGAGAGAGAATCTTTTTTTTTTTTAAAGATTTTATTTATTTATCTGAGAGAGAGAGAGAGATAGCAAGAGAGAGCACGAGCAGGGGGGAGAGAGAGAAGCAGGCTCCCCACTGAGCAGGGAGCCTGATGTGGGGCTCCATCCAAGGACCCTGGGATCACGACCTGAGCCAAAGGCAGATGCTTAACCGACTGAGCCACCCAAAATCTTAAGCAGGCTCCACGCTCAGCATGGAGCCCAACATCTCCCACTACCCTGAGATCATGACCTGAGCCGAAACCAAGAGTCGGATGCCCAGCCGACTGAACTACCCAGGTGCCCTGCCAAAAGGATTTTTTTTTCAAGATTTATTTATTTATTTGAGAGAGAGAGAGAGAGCCTGGGGGAGGAGCAGAGGGAGAACAGGAGAGAATCTCAAGCAGACCCCGTGCTGAGTGCAGAGCTATGTGGGGCTTAATCTCACAACCCTGAGATCACGATGTGAGCCAAAAGCAAGAGTCAATGCCCAACTGACTGCTCCACTAAGGCACCCCCAAAAAGATTTTTTAAGTAGGGTCACAAACAAAGTAATTCTTAAGTGCATGTAGGTCGAAGAATTGAATGGGGAGACAAAATTGTGCAAAAGAAATACATGAATATTTACTTCAAAACCATTTGACTGTATCAACGATGTAAAACTTCTGTGTATTTTTTAAGATCCATAAGCAATATTAAAAAGCAAATACAAACAGAGAAATATTTGTTATATTCCAATCATAGTTCCCATGGGTGGGAATTGGTTCTGGGGTTTTCGAAGGGAAAGGTCAGGGAATGATTTCATACTGGCAACCAGCTAATGCAGTTAAGTTTCAGGCCTCTGAAAAGGGAAATAACTGAAAGTCAAGTAATCCATGACAGATGTTTGGAAGTCCATTAGGTTTTTTTGTTTTTGGTTTTTTTTTTTTAAAGACACATTTATTCAGCGTCATGATCAGACTATTACATTTAGCAATCAAGAGCATGGGTGCAAAAAAAAAAAAATCTACATTAAAACCCTTTGTCAGAATGCTTTACACTTTCCACAGAACAGAAACTAAAATAACCTGTTATACAATTAGTCACAAATAGAGTCCTTGAGTTTTTTGCCCGTACCTATGAGTATTGTCTAAAACATGTCTTCTTTGTAGCAGCTAGGCTACAAAGCTGTGCTTGGCTGAGTTCACAAATCTGTTGTAACCTGTAGCTTCCCTGTCACTTCTCTGGCTCTCCTCTCCTGCTAAGCTTTGTTTCCTGGCAGTAATTAAAACCTTCTGCCACTGCCATAGCTACCGCTGCTGCTGGAACTGCCACAGCCACCTTGGTTTCGTGGTTTGGCAAAGTATTGGCCTCCACCACCATAGAGGCCAGAGCTTCTGCCTCCAAAATTTCCTCCTTTCATGGGTCCAAAATTTGAGGATTGATTGTTGTAATTGCCAAAATCATTATAGCTTCCTCCACCTCCAAAGTTGCTTCCATCATTACCAGATCCATTATAGCCATCCCCACTGCCACCATATCCACCACCACCTCGACTGCGACCAAAGCCACCTTGACCACTGAAGTTCCCTCCACGACCAAAGTTGTCATTCCCACCAAAACCACCTCCACGACCATCACCAAAGTTTCCAGAACCACTTCGACCTCTTTGGCTGGATGAAGCACTAGCCATCTCTTGCTTAGATAGGGCTTTCCTTACCTCACAGTTGTGGCCATTCACAGTGTGGTATTTTTGAATGACAATCTTGTCTACAGAGTCATGGTCATCGAATGTTACAAAAGCAAAACCTCTCTTTTTGCCACTGCCTCGGTCAGTCATGATCTCGATCACTTCAATTTTCCCATACTGTTCAAAATAATCTCTTAGATGATGTTCTTCAGTGTCTTCTTTAATGCCACCAACAAAAATCTCTTTCACAGTTAAGTGAGCACCAGGTCTTTGAGAATCTTCTCTTGAGACAGCCCTCTTTGGTTCCACAACTCTTCCATCCACCTTGTGTGGCCTTGCGTTCATGGCTGCATCCACCTCCTCCACAGTGGCATACGTGACAAACCCAAAGCCTCTGGAGCGCTTGGTGTTTGGATCTCTCATTACCACACAGTCCGTAAGCGTTTCCTCAAAATGGCTCCTCAGACTCTCATTGGTTGTTTCAAAGCTCAAACCTCCGATGAAGAGCTTCCGCAGCTGTTCAGGCTCTTTGGGAGACTCTGACTTAGACACGACGGTGGTGGGAGGGGAGACTTGAACGATGCTTACTTGGCGGCGTCCATGGGCAGAAAGGAGTAATCTAACGAATGTATCTCCATTAGGTTTTTATTTCTATTTTTTAAAAAGAGTTTATTTATTTATTTATTTGAGAGAGAGAGAGAGAGTGCGAGGCGGGGAGGAGCAGAAGAGGAGGGTCAAGGAGGGGAAAGAATCTTAAGCGGACTCTGTGCTGAGTGTAGAGCCTGATGCAGGGCTTGATCTCACGATCCTGAGCTGAAACCAAGAGTTTGGCACTTAACTGCCTGAGCCCCCCAGGTGCCCCTCCATTAGATTTTTTTTTTTAAATTAGAATTACTTTTGAGAGCCTTTACAATTGCTGCTTTCATAGATTTTGGCTCTTAAATTATTATTTTTTTCTCTCTCTGCACCCACAGGTCCCATCCTTTGACTTTCTGTCTGAAAAACTCCAGTTCTACCAGAGACAGTTCAATGAAATCATTAGAGGAACATCTCTTGATCTAGTGTTTTTTAAAGATGCAATGACTCATCTTATTAAGGTTCTAACTATTGACTCTTTGCTAACATAAATAGATCATGTAAAAACTGGGTAAATTTCACAGACAGATGTTTTGAGAGAAGAAATCTATAGTTTTAGATAGTGTATAGAAGCATGTCCATAGGTTGGATCAGTTCATGGTCTCAGGAAACAAAGGCTTAATCAGAAACCTCTTAGCCAAATCGAAATAAGTTAATCAGTGAAAGACAAGTATCATATGATCTCACTGATATGAGGAATTCTTAATCTCAGGAAACAGAGTGGCTGGAGTGGTGGGGGGGCGGGAGGGATGGGGTGGCTGGGTGATAGACATTGGGGAGGGTATGTGCTATGGTGAGTGCTGTGAATTGTGTAAGACTGATGAATCACAGACTTGTACCTCTGAAACAAATAATATATTACATGTTAAAAAAAAAGAAGTTATTAGTAGAAAGGGAAAAATGAAGTGGAAATCAGAAGGGGAGATAAACTATGAGAGACTGTGGACTCTGAGAAACAAACTGAGGGTTCTAGAGGGGAGGGGGTGAGGGGATGGGTTAGCCTGGTGATGGGTATTAAGGAAGGCATGTATTGCATGGAGCACTGGGTGTTATACGCAAACTATGAATCATGGAACACTACAACAAAATCTAATGATATATGGTGACTAACATAACATAATAAAATCAAATTAAAAAAAAAAGAAACTCCTTAGCTGAATCCATGTATGGGACAGCAAATGCTTTTCAAGGGCAAATTGATGGGTTTTGTATTCAGAGCTGTTGACACGTCGAATCAGAGTTTTTCCTTTCTAGAAAGTAAGCTAGAGAACCCTGTGAAGAAATAGTCCCTCTTCAAATTTTATTTTGATATAATGGGAATCCTGTTCCCTTCCCCATGTAGGAAAACTTGATGCTTTTTAAAAAGGTCAACTTCATGATTGGCTTACAGATTATGGGCAAACTGATGAGGAAGGAGTAAGGTAGATGCACAGGACTGGTATAAAAGCAGAGACCAATTAGAGACAACACCCAGAGGAGCATGGTTTGATCCAAGTCTGAAGGGCTACAGAAAAGAGCCATTTGTTTGTGTCATGTATAGATTGAAAAGGAAGTTCGAACACAGTGTCAGGAGGTTTGATAAAGAGGCAGCTTGCTCTGTGTTTATTATATGTTGGTCTTCCCCAAAGTTGGTGAATTTCCAGATGTCCTAGGGCTGTTTCACATTCATCTACTCAACAAATAATTATTGAGTACTCACTGTGGTGAGGTCTTGGGGGCCTGGGACCCCCAAGTGATTAACATGTTACAAAATATAATGATAGAATTAATGCAAAGTGTTTTTACTATCTGCTACCTGTAAAACTTCCATTTAAAAAAAAACTTTTTAGTGGTGATAATGAATTTAGTGATCCATCTAGACTTTCATCTTAATCAGTGACATTAATGTAAAAGGCAGTTTTTTAGCAATGTCTTCAATTGGCCTGCATATGAGGTGAACCACAATTCCAGCCTTATCCTTATTGAGGAAATCAGCCATAGAAAAGCAACACAAGACTAAAGTCTAAGTCTTTTTCTACAGATGCCTTCTTGTCTCCCTTGTAAGTAGAATTTTGGTACTTAAATTTTTTTTTGTTGGCAGAGATACAATACAGGTAGTATTCATTGTAGAGCTAGGTGTCTATCTAGTTCAGTATGTTAGACTGAATAATAAGCAGACAATCCTAAACTTTCTGCAGATTGGGAAGAGCAGCTCCATCATGCATTGAGTCCGAAAATAATAAAATTACACACACACACACACACACACACACGAGAATGGCTTTGAAATAGGAGATAGGAAAGCCCATTTGTTCTCTCTTTGATGACGGGCAAGGAAAAGAATTTGAGTTGACTAAATCAATAGGAGACATTAATTTAAAAAAACTCTGACATATCCCATTAAAAGAAAAAGTCTAATGTAGTCTACAAGCATATGTTCAAAATTGGACTCATGTAGTGCGAGAAAATGTGAAGAGTTGAATTCTATTTTTAAATACGTACCATTTTATTTCCAAACAGATTTCACGAATAATTCGAACATCATGTGGAAATGCGTTGCTGGTGGGTGTCGGTGGTTCAGGAAAACAAAGTCTTTCGAGATTGGCCTCTTTTATAGCTGGATATCAAATATTCCAGATTACATTAACCAGGTAAGGTGAAATAAAACACAGCAATACATTTTTCTATTATTAATTTCTCTGAAGTAAAATGTTCACTTAAAAAATACAACAATTTGGTATACTTTTTAAGCTTTTTATTTAAGTGTAAATTATTTAAGGAGATGTGCACAAATCATGGGTGTCACAAAGTAAGTACACCTCGGTTGTTAGCCTACAGATGAAGAAATAAAATATCAGCACCCTGGAATCACACCTCAAGTCCTGTCTCAGTCATTACCCTCCCAAGGTTCACCATATTCTGACTTCTAAACCCACTTAGTTTTACCTATTCTTGAACTTTCTATCCATCAAATGCTATGGGATCTACTCTTTTGTGTCCAGTTTCTGTTGCTTGTATTATGTTCGGGAGTTTCATCCATCATGCTGCATGTACCCATAGTTTGTTCATTCTTATTGCTGTATAGACCTCCACTTTCTCACATATTACCACAATTTGTTTCGCGTTGTGCTGTTGATAAATATTTGTGGGGATTTTTTGGCAAGTAGAGCTGTAATGAATATTCTTGCACATGACGGAGTGTACTTTCGGAGATAGAACTGCTGGGTATGGAGTGTACATATATTCAGCTTTAGTCCATTTGGAGAATTGTTTTCCAGTGTGGTTCTACCTACACTTCCACCAACGTTTCATGAGGGTCTCAGTTGCTCCTCATCCTGGTGTACCTTTGGCACCGTGAGTCTTTCTCACTTTAGCAATTCTGGTGGATGGGTAGTGGTATGTCTCTGTGGCTTCCAGTTGCATTTTCCATGGCGAATGTTGAGCACATTTTCACCTCTTATTGGCCATTTGGACAGTCTCTTTTGTGAAATATCTGTGTTATTCCTTTGTTGCTTCTTTTTTTTTTTTTCAATTAGGGTGTGATTCTCATTGATTTTTAGGAGTTCTTTATATATATGTTTTGGATATAATCTGTTGTCAGAGTGTGTATTACATAAATCTTCTCCAAGTCGTTGGCTTGCCTTTTCACTCCTGGTGGATTTTATTTTATTTTATTTTTTTTTTAAGATTTTATTTATTTATTTATTTGCGGGGGGGGGAATGCGCGAGCATGCGTGCATGAGTAGTGGGGAGGGGCAGAGGGAGAGGGAGAAGCAGACTCCCCACTGAGCAGGGAGCCCCCACTCAGAACTTGATCCCAGGACCCTGAGATAATGACCTGAGTCAAAGGCAGATGCTTAACCAACTGAGCCACCCATGTGCCCCTTGGTGGATCTTTTATTTTAGTTTATTATTATTTTTATGTCTAGGCTACATTTTTTTATTATGTTCAATTAGCCAACTTAAGTTATCAATTTTTTTTATTTTAGTGCTCTTTGTATTCTGTTAAAAAATATTTGTTTACCTTTGTTTACCTATGAAGATATTCTCCTGTGATTTCCTTTGCATTTGCAAATAAAATGTACTTTTTTTACATATAGAATTATAACCCATCTAGAATTTATTTTCTTCTAAAATCTGAGGTAGGAGTTAAGATTGTATTTTTCAATATAGATATCCAATCACTCCAACTCCATTATTGAAAAGGTCATGTTTTTCCTGACACATTACAGTGTCATTTCTTCCCCATCAATCAACTGATGACGTCTGTGACTACAGTTTGTTCCACTGATTTAATTATCTTTGTAGTATTACCAACTGTCTTAATTACTGTAGTTTTAATATATCTTGAACAACTTTGTTGTTCTTCTTCAGGACTGTCTTGAATATTTGGCCTTTTGTAGTTCCTCATAAATTTTAGGTCACTTTTTAAATTAACAATTTATACACACTACATAGATAAAAAATTTAACAGGGTACAAATTACAAGAGCAATTAAAAAAACATGAAGCATCAAATATCTAGAGGTTAATTAAATTAATCAGTTGTCAACCTTTAAAAATTGGGAGGTTTCACAAAAAAAAAAACAAAAAAAACCAAAACGGATTTCTGACTTCTCTTGACACAGTTGGAAGATCTGGCAACACTGTGCCTACATTCCCAGGTGCCTGGACCTAAGCAACATGCCTCCTTAGATGGGACATACAGTCCTCCAGTTTACCAGAGTGTTAACAGTATTTTCTTGTTTTCTGTATTCTTGATGCTCTGGCACTGGGGTCCTGCTGACTGCCCCTCCCAGGGCAAGCCAGTTCTTAGAGACAGCTAATGGCTTGCTCCAGTAGTGTGCCTTTCATAGGTAAACCAACTACTCCAGAGCTTATACTCTGAACCACCACGTCTATCTGGCTTTCTCTACCAGGAAACAATATTGCTCTGCTCTAATCACCCCAGAGCCAAGGACCAGTAACTAGCGACAGCATCTATGCCCTGGGGCCCTTGAAATTATTCAAACAAGCCAATCCTAAATCTGCTTGGCCTGCCTGCCTTTGCCTTTCTCATGGAAACCACAGTAACTGCTGTTGCCCACGGTCGCTGTCACTCCCCCCACCTCCTGACTGACGCTGAAGCTTCCCCATGCAGCCCTATGTGGTGTGGCATATCCCCTCTTGTTTCTAGGGATCTGTGAGTATAGGCTTCTTCCTTCATGACAGTCCTTTCCATGTCTGTGTGTCTTACCATACCCGACTAAAAAGCTTCCTGGAAACATTTTAAAACAGCAGGGAAGGTGAAGGGAAGTAGAGAGGAATCAGAGGGGACAATTTAAAGTAGGACTTTATAGTCCCTAGTATATTGTTAGGACTTAGCAACTGATCGGATATGGGGTAAAGAGGAAAGAAGAAAGTCTAGAATGACACACCTAGTTTCTCTAGTGGTATTTATTACACTGAACTGTAAAAAATGCTTGTTCACTCCTCTGTCTCCTTCACTAGTCTGTAAGCAACCTGAGGATGGACCATCGTAACCTTTGTCTTATCTACCATTACTATCAAGTGGGTTCTTTTAACCAACACCAAAGAAATACGTGTTGAACAAATAAACAAATGACCAGTTTTAAGGGGGGTAAAATGAGAATTCAGTACATGCAGAGAGTGAGATGTTTGCAGAACACACGGTTTCCGTAGTTCATTAGACTCATGGGTGTGGAGTTCAGGAGTGGCTGGCTCCTAAAGATGTCAGCACAGAAGTCTCAGTGGAGAGAACAAATTTCAGGTAACAAGGAGCATGAGTAGGGAGCATAGCGAGAAGAAAAGATGGCTAAGGGAAGAATGCTGGGGTCTCCCAACATAGAGGAAGGGGACTTGCTTGCAAGGGAGTGAGAAGTAGAGGCAAGGCAAAGAGGAGGAAATCCAGAGTGGTTTCCAGAAACCAAACTACATCTCAGCAAATCTTACCAGTTTCTCCTTCTAACGAATGACCCCCTTGGCAATTATTTTGAAAGGCATGTATATTTTCCTTTCAGTGGAGTTCCTTTTGCCCAAGTCTACAAGACATTTTACTGTAGTGCCACTCAGAAGGGGATAACTGGTCCTCCTAGATTAAAATCAGCTATTTATTCATTCGAGTGCCCTTAAACTGAGTCATCTCTAATGCCCACTGTAGCTTTTACAAACAGATATTTTCTTCATTTTGCAAAGGAGGAAACAGAAGTTGAAGAATGTAAAGGAACATTTCCAAAGCTGCAGAATGGGGATTTGAACACAGGTCCTTCTGGTTCTAATGCCTGTGGCTTACACACAACTCCCTATGACTTGCACCATACAACCTCCTTCAAGTGAGGATGTCTTTGTTGTCAATTTACTCATGAGGATTTATACACAACACTTCAGAAAATGTCTGCTTTATTTCTGCACATCACATCATCTCCAGGAGCATATATATTTAGTAGGAAACACAGTAAACAGAAAAGCAAAGACCAAGATCTTCTTGTCATAAGCTGTAACTACATAATTATAACATTTCAATTATTTATATCACATTGCATAATGCATGTTCTTCTGTAGGCTGTCTCTGTATTTAGCCACTTAATGAGATACACAAATTACCACTATATATAATTTATTGCTAATTTTATTTATAATTTATCTTGACTTTCTTACCAATCCAAACTCATCCAAGTTTCAGATTAGTTTTAAATATTATACATATATTCACTTGGGCAAAATCTGTTGTGGAAGACTGTCAGCTTGCTGGGAATAAAAGTTCATTTCTGAATTTCTAATTACTCTTCATGAGTCACTTCTGGTGAATTCCCATTTCTCACTTCTCACGTTAAATAAAACATACTTGCTTTGAACAGTAACACATAACTATTTCTCTCTGACCTCCGTGTTTTTAGCAGGCACTCTTACTTGGTGTCTCTTGGGGCAGGTGCAGAGTATGCTCTTATTACCATGGGTTATTTTGTCTTCTGAGACAAATTATGACTACATATATTTTTAAATTTTAAATTTCCTACCACCCTTTTTAGGTCTTATAATGTGAATAATCTAACAGATGACTTAAAAGGTCTGTACAAAGTTGCTGGTGCTGATGGAAAAGGTATCACCTTCATCTTTACTGACAATGAAATAAAGGATGAGGCATTTCTAGAATATCTTAACAACCTGTTATCGTCAGGGGAGGTAGGTCTCAAAAGTAGAGAAAAAGCTCATATTTTAAAAATGTAAATTATATTTGAACAGAAAAAGCAGCAATCCTTCACAAGTGAGGCCACTTAACATTCATTTTTCATTTTAGAAATGATTAATATGTAAGACATGGTAGATTTTTCTTTAAAACTACCTGTGAGAAATGAATGCTGTCCACCTCCAGATTTTTTGTATGCTTTGTTCCATTTTAAATATGATTGCTTACTTATTTCATCAGTTTTCAATTTGATCCTGTAATTTATTTTAGAATAATCACAGTATCTATCTAACAGTCAGGAGTATAAGAGAAAGGAAAGAGTTCTGCCAGCTCTAAGCAGATGTTTGGTCATCACTTCTGACACCACCTCTGTCAGCACTCCCATGATCACTCACATACTTGGTACTTCATTAGAAGGACTCATGGGGCTCAACATCCAGTTGTACTCATGTCTAAGATTTATGACAGCAACACAGCAAGGATTCACAGCCAGATCAATATAGAAAAAGACACATCAGGTGGAATCTGGAGAAATCCATGTGCAGGCTTCCTATGTTCTCACCGAAAGGGTCATACAGAATGTGCATCCCCTCCAGTGGTGAAATGCAGTCACTCATATGCCGTGTTTCCATTCAGGGAACCCTGTTGGAGATTCCGAATTCAGCAGTTTTACTGGGGGCTGGTCTGGTTGTCCCTCCCTGCCTAGACACTACTGTCAAAACTCCAGACTCCCAGAAGGAAAGCAGATGTTCACCATATATCACAATGTTTGTATTAACAGTCCAGGCCCAGAACAACCTTTTCAATTAGTAAGGAGGAGACATTCAAAAACCAAGTTCCCAGACGATGGCCAAGTGCTAGCCCTGCAAGCATACTCTTCTTAAAATCGGGCTCACTGTGTTAACTCTTCCCTGCTCAGTGGTGTCTATCAATGCTTGCTGCTGCATGAGCTAGTTAACTACCTCGGAGAGAGGACTTCTGCACAATGGTGGCATAGGAAAATCCTGAATTCACCTCCTCCCATGGCAGCACCAAATCTACATCTATATATGGATTATTTCCCTCTGAAAAAGATCCGAAAACTAGATAAGCTGCTTCTCCACAACAAAGGATAAAAAGACCACATCAAGATAGGTAGGAGAGACACAGTCTTGCCACAAACCTCACCCTCAGCACAGTGACTTGCAATAGGGAGGGCTCTCACAAATAAGGAGTGAGGGGTTGGTGCCTCACATCAGGCATCCCAGCCCCTGGAATATATATCAGAGAGACAAGCCCCCAAAATGTCTGGCTTAGAATACCAATGGGGCAAAAAAAAAAAAAAAAGAAAAGAAAACCAACGGGGCTGACATCTGGTGACCCAAAGTGCTATAAGAAAGTGAGATTCACTACTAAAGGGCTCCCAATATAGTCTTATCCCAAGACCCAGCCAAGCAAACAAACAAACAAACAAAAAACCCCAGCACTTTGAAAAATGCCTAGATTGTATGTGAAGAAGATTCACTTGCTAATCTTAAAGTATCAACTGGAGGGATCAGGGGACAGTTGAAACTCTCCCCAGAAATGGAGTTGCTGGTGGATGCCAGTTTTGCACTTTCTACCTACCCTGCTTGCACAGGTGAGCAAGCTTGGACAAAGCACCCTCCTTCCACCTTACTAAGACAGGCAGGGGCAAATGAGTAGTCAGTACTATCCCACTACCTTGTTGAAGTTGGAGAGCATGGGTGGTTGTGGCACTCCCCTGCTCCCTGGCTGGGGCAGGTGAGCATGAATGTGGCATTCACCTGCTCCCTAGGTAAGGTCAGCAAGCATGGGTGGTTGTGACACTCCCTTTCCTTGGCGGGGGCTGGCAAGTGCAAAAGGTGGAAACATTCTTCTACTCCAGTCTAAAGCTGGTGCATATACTCAAATAAGGCACTCACTTGCTGCAGTCCTGAAGCCCATGGGAGCATGCAGTTAAAACGTTTTCCTGCTGCTTTTCTGAAGTTGGCAAGTATGCCCCTCTTATACACTCTCCAGCTGCCTAGTTAAAGCCAGCAGCCATGGGCAATCTACATGGGGATGCCCCTTGATTGCCTCATGCTGGTGGCCAAGGGGACTGGCATTCCTGAGCTCCACAGGAAGTAACAGTTGGAAAGACATTTCTTGGCAGGCCACTACACCCAGGACACTGCACAGACAGCAGACTGAAACACAACCCCAGTCTTCCTGTGAAAAAGACCTATTTACTTACATCGGAGCTTCTGCCAGAGGGACAGGCTTTAGGTTTCCCACACATCTAGAGGTTGAGGAGACACTCAAAGGGAATGTAAGCAGGAAGACACCATCTTTCCACAACCCCTTGGCCTTGCTAGAGCTCAACAAGACCTCCTGGAAAGGAGTTTATATATTTGTCTGGAGCCCCAACTTTTGTGATCTGGAGAGACTTCCTAGTCTGGAGGACAGCAGGGATTATGATTGTGGCCATACAGGACTGTATGTATTTGCATACTTTTTAAAAAACTGTTGCCTGAGGTTCTAGATTCCAGTCAACCTAAAACTAGGTACCAAATGAGATTCCTCCCCCTTGGAACACTGACTGGTCTTGGTGTACCCTCAGCAACAGGGGCATATCAATAATAAATCAGGTGGTTTGGATAATCAAAAAGTTTTGTGACACAACCAAGAGCTAGGGCAAAGTTGAATAAGGTCCATCACCTACATAAGGCCACTTCTTCAAGACTAGGAGAGGTAGCAGTTTTGCCTCATAGAAACAAACATAGAGTCAAGCAAAATGAAGAAACAGAGAAATATGTTCCAAATGAAAGACAAAAACCTCAGATGGAGATAAGTGATCTACCTGATAAGGGATTCAAAGTAATGGTCCTAAAGATGCTTACTGAACTCATGAGGGGAATGGATGAACACAGTGAAAACTTTAATAAAGATACTGACAACATAAGAAAGTACCAAATAGAGGTCACAGAGCTGAAGAATTACAATAACTGAACTGAAAAAATACACAGGAAGGGTTCAACAGCAGACTGGAAGAAGTGAAACAGATCAGCAAGCTGGAAGACGAAGTAATGAAAATCAGACAGAGCAGCAAAAAGAAAAAAAAATTTAATGAAGATAACTTAAGGGATATATGGGACAACATCAAGTGGAATAAAATTTGCATTGTGGGGGCCCCAAAGGAGAAGAGAGAGAAAAAGGGAGAGAAAACTTATTTGAAGAAATAATGGCTGAAAATTTGCCTAACCTGGGGAAGGAAACAGACATCCAGGGCCAGGAAGCCCCGAGTTCCAAATAAAATGAACATCAAAGACCTTCCAAAATGAACGTCAAAGAATATCCAAAGATATTCACGTCAGGACACATTATAATTAAAATGTCAAAGGTTAAAGATAAAGAGAGAATCTTAAGAGCAACAAGAGAAAAAAATTGTTACAGAAAAAGGAAAATTCCATAAAGTTATCAGCTGATTTCCCAGCAGAAACCTTGCAGGCCAGAAGCGAGTGACACAATATATTTTGAATATATTGTGCTAAAAGGAAAAAATACTTCCAATCAAGAATACTCTATCCAGCAAAGTTACTATTCAGAACTGAAAGAGAGAGAGTTTCTCAGGTTAGTAAAAGCTAAAGAATTTCATCTCTACTAAACCAGCTTTACAAGAAATGTTAAAGGAACTTCTTTATGCTGAAAAGAAATGGCACTAATTAATAGCAAGAAAGCACAGAAAAATAAAAATATATAGTAAAGGGAATGGATTAATCACTTACCAAACTACTAAAACTACTATAAAGGTAGTAAAGGTAAAGGTGATAAAATTAACTAAAATGATAATAATCAGTTAAGGGATATAAAAAGATGTAAAATGTGACATCAAAAACATAAAACGTGGGGGAAGGTAGTAAAACTGTAGAATTTTGGAGTGTGTGGAAATTTAAGTTTCCATCAAATTAAAATAAATATATAAAATGATAAAGTGAACCTCACAGTAACAACAAAGCAAAAACTTATAGTAAACACTCAAAAGAAAATGAGCAAGGAATCAAAACATAACACTGAAGAAAGTAATCAAACCAGAAGGGATGAGAGAAAGAGAAGAAGAAAGGAACAGAAGGGAACTATGAAAGCAGCCAAAAAACAATTAACAAAATGGCACTAAGTACATACCCATCAAAAACTACTTTAAATTTAAGTGGACTAAATGATCTAATCAAAGATAAAGAGTGGCTGAATGGATTTAAAAAAAAAAAAAGACCTATCTATGTGCTGCCTACAGAGACCCACTTCAGAAGTAAAAACACAGACTGACAGTAAAGGGACGGAAAAAGATATCCCATGCAAATGGAAATGAAAAGAAAGCTGGGATAGCTGTATTCAGATCAGACAGAATACACTTTAAAACAAAGACGGTAACAAAAGACAAAGAAGGCACTATATAATGATAAAGAGTCAGTCCAGAAAGGAGATATAACATCTACAAATGTATTCGAACCAAACATAGGAGCACCAAAATGTATAAAACAAATATTAACAGATCTAGAAGGAGAAGTTAACAGCAATGAAATAATAGTAGGGGACTTTAACACCCCACTTACATCAATGGATAGATCATCAAGATAGAAGATCATTAAGGAAATATCAGCCTAAAACGATATGCTAGACTATATGGATTTAATAGATATACATATAGAACATTCCATCCCAAAACAGCAGAACACACACTCTTCTCAAGTGCACATGGAACATTCTCAAGGGTAGATCATACGTTAAGCCACAAAACAAGTCTTTTTTTTTTTTTTTTTTGAGAGAGAGACACAGCAAGAGAGGGAACACAAGCAGGGGGAGTGGGAGAGGGAGAAGCAGGCCCCCCACAGAGTGGGGAGCCCGATGCGGGACTCGATCCCAGAACCCTGGGATCATGACCTGAGCAGAAGGCAGACGCTTAACGACTGAGCCACCCAGGCGCCCCGGCCACAAAACAAGTCTTAGTGAATTCCAGAAGATTGAAGTTATATTAAGCATCTTTTTAGACCACAATTGTATGACACTAAGAATCAATTATAAGAAGAAAACTGCAAAGACTACAAATAAGTGGAGATTAAACAACATGTTACTGAATAATTACTGGATCATAGAAGAAATCAAAGGAGAAATAAAAAAAATACCTAGAATAAATGAAAACATATATGACATACCAAAACATACAGTGCAGCAAAAGTGGTTTTTAGAAGGAAGTTAGTTCATAGCAATATAGGCCTACCTCAAGAAGCAAGAGAAATCTCAAATAGAGAATTTAACTTTACACCTGCAGGAACTAGAAAATGAAACAAAAAGCCCAAAGTTAGTAGAAATAAGGGAATAATAAAGATCAGAGTGGAAATAGAGACTAAAACGACAATAGAAAAAAATCAATGAAACTAAGAGCTGGTTCTTTGAAATGGTAGAACAAATGGACAAACCCTTAGCTAGACTAAACAGGAAATAAAGAGGAAGGACTCAAAATCAGAAATGAAAGAGGTGAAGTTACAATTGATATCAAAGAAATACAAGGGATCATAAGAGACTGCTACAAACAATTATATGTCAAAAAATTGGGTAACCTAGAGGAAATGGATACATTTCTAGAAACTTATAATCTTCCCAGACCAAATCATGAAGAAATAGGAAATCCGAATAGACTAATTACTAATAAGACGTTGAATCAGTAATCAAAAACCTGCCAACAAAGTTCTAGGCCCAAAATTCTAGGCCCAGGAAAATTCTACCAAACACTGAAAGAAGAGTTAGTACCTATTTTTCTCAAACTCTTCTAAAAAATTGAAGAGGAGGGAACACTCCTAAACTCATTCTACAAGGACAGACTTACCCTGATACCAAAACAAGACAAAGATACCACAAGAAAAGAGAATTACAGGCCAATATCCCTGATGAGCACAGATGCAAAAATCCTCAATAAAATAGCAAACTGAATTCAACAATACAGTAAAAGGATCATACACCATGATCAAGTGGGATTTACTCAAGAGTTGTGAGGATAGTTCAACATCCACAATCAACATAATACATCACATTAACAAAATGAAAGATGAAAATCATATGATCATCACAACAGATGCATAAAAAAGCACTTGACAAAATTCAACATCCATTTATGATTAAAAACTCTCAACAATGTGGAATGGACAGAGGGAATGTACCTCAAAATAATAAAGACCATATATGACAAACCCACAGCTAATATCACACTTAACAGGAAGTTTTTTCTTAGGGAAGTTGAAGAATAAAAGTCATCCTAATTGGAAAGGAAGACTGTCAGTATTTACACATGACATGCTGTTATATATAGAAAATCCTGAAGATTCCACCAAAACACTGTTAGAACTAATACACAAATTCAGTAAAGTTTCAGGAATACAAGGATAATATACAGAAATTGGTTGCATTCTTATACACTAATAATGAGCTATCTGAAAGAGATATTAAGAAAATGCCATTTACAATTGCATCCAAAAAAGAATAAAATACCTACGAATAAATTTAATCAAGGAGGTGAAAGACCTGTACACTGAAAACTATAAAACATTGTTGAAAGAAATGAAGACACAAATACATGGAAAGATATTTTGTGCTCTTGGATTGGAAGAATTAATATTGTTAAAATGTCCATACTACCCAAAGCCATCTACAAATTCAATGCAATAGCTATCAAAATTCCAATGGCATTTTTCACAGATACAGAACAAAGAATTCTAAAATTTATATGGAACCATGAAAGACCCTGGATAGCCAAGCAATCTTGAGAAAAAAGAACAAAGATGGAAATATCACGATCTCTGATTTTTAAACTATACTGCAGTGCTATAGTAATCAAAACAATGTGGTATTGGCATAAAAATAGACACATAGCTCAAAAAAACAGAATAGAGAGCTCAGAAACAAGCCCACGCATATACGATCAATTAATTTATGACAAAGGAGCCATGAATATACAATGGGGAAAGGACAATCTCTTCAATAAATGGTGTTGGGAAAACTAGACAGCCACATGCAGAAGGGGGAAACTGTACCACCACTTCACACCATGCACAAAAATTAACTCAAAATGTATTAACGACTTGAAGGTAAGACCTGAAACCATGAAAATTCTAGAAGAAAACATAAGTGGTAAGCTCCCTGACATTGGTCTTAGCAATGTTTTTATAGATTTGACTCCAAAAGCAAGGGAAACTAATGGAAAAAGAAACAAATGGGACTATATCAAAATAAAATGCTTCTGCACAGTGAAGGAAACCATCAACAAAATTAAAAGGAAACCATCAACAAAATTAAAAGGCAACCTACTAAAAAGGAGAAGGTATTTGCAAGTTGAATATCTGATAAGGGGTTAATATTCAAAATATATAAAGAACTCTTACAACTCAATACCAAAAAAAACCCCCGAAATAATCCTCCAGGCAGAGGATCTGAATATACATTTTTCCAAAAAGATATACAGAACAAGCACATGAAAAAATGCTCAACATCATTAATTGTCAGAGAAATGCAAATCAAAACCACTACAAGATAGCACCTCACACCTGTCAGAATGGCTGTTATCAAAAAGGTAAGAAATAACAAGTTTTGGTAAGGATGTGGAGAAAACGGAGCCCTCATGCACTGTTGGTGGGAATGCAAACTGATGAAGTCACTTGAAAAACAGTATGGAGGATCCTCAAAAAATTAAAATTAGAACCACCATGTGATCCAGCAATTCCACTACTGGGTATCTATCTGAAGAAAATTAAAACACTAATTCAAATGGATATATGCACCCTTTGTTCATTGTAGCAATATTTACAAGAGCCAAGGTATGGAAACAACCCAGACATCTATCAGTGGATAAATGGATAAAGAAGATATGGCATGTATGTACACACACACACACACACACACACACACAATGGAATACTACTTAGCCCCAATAAAAAATATAATCTTGCCATTCGTGAGCACATGGGTAGACCTTGAGAGTAGTAAGCTAAGTGAAATAAGTCAGAGAAAGGCAAATACTTCACGCTTTTGTTTATATGAGATATCTAAAAAGCAAAACAAAATCCAGACTCCTAGATACAGAGAACAGATTGGTGGTTGACAGATGGAGGGGGACTTGCTGGAGTGGGAGTGGGTGAGATGAGCAAAGGGGATCAAGAAGTACAAACTTCCAGTTATAAAATAAAGAAGTCATGGAGATGTAATATATAGCAGGGGGACTGTAGTCAATAATATTGTGTAACTTTATAGTGTGACAGATGGTAACTAGACTTAGTATGGTAATCATTGCCCAGTATATACAAATGTTGAATCACTGGAAACTAATATAATATTGTATATCAATTATACCTGAAAAAAATACACAAACATAGTAAAAAATGACCTCAGACCCAGAATTGAGACTGTCTATGAATCAGAGAACACAGGGCATCACTGGACATTCTAAAGAGATTATTGGAATGCTAGAGAGGTACTTTTTTGGTGATAGTTATTGGAGCAGAGGGAAACAAAATTTCCTCCTGATTAAACGCTCAATAAAAAGTTGTATTCTTGGTAATCTCTGGCAAACGAGGGATTTTGACTCTGGAGATGCAGAAAGAAAATATGAAAAAAGATGACATGTCGGGGGAGAAAGGACGAGGCTTTGGCAGTGAATTAGTGTGGGGAACTTGTAAAGTACAAGTCTTGTCTGTTTCTCAAAGATCTCCAATCTGTTTGCACGAGATGAGATGGATGAAATCACCCAAGGTCTGATATCGGTGATGAAAAAGGAGCTGCCTCGCCACCCTCCTACCTTTGATAATCTGTATGAGTACTTCATTTCAAGATCAAGGAAGAACTTGCATGTTGTTCTCTGCTTCTCTCCAGTGAGTTGTTACTTTATATTTATGTGGGAGGAGTTACTTATTGAAACGTACTTAATAGTTTACCTTCTTTGATGAGATGATTTGCTCAGAAATTAACATTTGTCACACTGAATTGAAATTAACACTTTACTACCACCAATCTCCCCTGGAGGCAGGCAATCTCATACCAAAGTGTAATCATTTAAAATGTCCATTTTATTAGAAATTATTGCATAGCCTACAACTTCCATTAATTGCCTAGAGATATATTACTCGAATTGTAAGGGATTTGGTAATGTAATTTGTCTAGCTCTTCCTCCAATATCAACATACCGTCTAGAATGTCCCTGATGTAGCCCTGAATATCCCTAGCTCACTCCATTATCCAGTATAGTAGCTATTAGACATGTATGGCTATTTAAATTTTGATTAATTAAAATGAAGGAAAAATAAAAATTCAATTGTTCAGTCCCATTAGCTCCATTTCAAGTGCTCAGTAGCTATGAGTGGCTCGCGGCCACCATACTGGACGGCGCAGATACAGAACTCACGGTTGTATTGGGCAGCTCTGCTCTGCGGGTCTCACTAACTTACAAGCCAACCTGCTTAATTTTTAGATAGTCTAATTCCTAGAGACGTCTTCTATGGAATGAATTGAATTTTGTCTCTCTGTATTTTTCCCCTGTGGTTCTGTTTTGGCTTGTAAAATGAGTCCGATCCCTCCCCGCCCTCCATACCGCTCCTCAGATATTTAGAGAAAGTTTTTGCAGATTCCCAAAGTTGTTCCCTCCGTAGACCAAACACCTCCCACCCCTTCTGCTGCTCTCACTTTTCCTCGTGTCCAGGCTTTTCACCGTCCTGGTCATCTCTCTCTAGAAGAGTTCTAGTGTGTCCCTTTCCCCTCAAAGGTAGCTTTTAGAATCCAACCCAATGATGCAAATGTAGTCTTAGGGCAGGGAAGAGTGTGGAAATACTACCCCCTTCATCTGAACATTTCACTGATATACATTAATGCAGCCCAAGGTTTTTTTTTTTAACTGTGATGTCACACCATTGGTTCAGAATGCCTAAGCCTCTCTTGAGCCGATTTATTATAACCCTTGTGTGTGTCTGACACTTTTGGACTTCGCTGTCAACAGGTTGGTGAGAAGTTCCGAGCCCGTTCTTTGAAGTTTCCTGGCTTGATATCAGGTTGCACCATGGACTGGTTTAGTCGCTGGCCGAAGGAGGCCTTGATTGCGGTGGCCTCCTATTTCCTTTCAGGCTATGGTATTGTCTGCTCCAGTGACACTAAACGACAAGTCGTAGAAACAATGGGCCTCTTCCATGACATGGTTTCCGAGAGCTGTGAAAATTACTTCCAACGGTGAGTGGCTTTCCCTAAGGCTGTGGCTGCAACCCCAGGGTTCACTCCGGAGAGGAATTCCATGCAGCAATCAGATCCATTGGGTCCAAAGTCCCAGCTGCACTTAGACTTTTTTTCTGGCCTTGATTTACTAGTGATGATGTATTGAAATAGTGATAAATCAATGAGATTTTAAAATGAACTAGTGTCCGTACTTAAGTACCTCTTTCCCTCCAGGCCTCAAAGGAACAGATGCTTAATGAATCACTTTATTTCATTTGCTTAATTTCTTTTTTTTGGAAAATGACTTGACTAATTCATGATAAACTGTTTAAAACTGGTTTCTTATTCAAATGCATTGTTTATTTTGATTAAGGAGGTACACTGTTTTAAAGTTTCACTCTTCCCTTATGTTAAGGGACATGTAGGTTTTGTATTTTGCAGCTCTTAGTCTTAGCAATGTTTCCATGCCAAATAATTTTAATTGACTGTAGGTGAGTCCAGTGGCTAAAAGTAGCAATGGTGTTCACATGTGAAAACTGTCGTCAACAGTTCAAAAATACAACTTCTCCCCCTCCCAAAGCATGATAGTCACTGTTTACATTTGACAGATGGGAATAGAGGTAGACCAACATAATCTTTGGGCTTCTGGGGGCACTGAACCTGCCAGAAAGAGTTTTTCCGCCTAGAGAGTCTGTGTAACACTTTCATGGATTTTTCAGGGGGTTCCTATCTCACAAAAGTATGTTTATCCTGGACCCTTTTCTATACTGAAAACTATGCCCAGGAAATGCACCCCCCCTTAAATAGTTCTAGATAACCTTCCAGATCCTCTTGGTGGATCCATGTGTATTCTTATGGTTAGCAAGATTTTCCTTCCACTTAACTTGAACTCCTTCTGTCACTGTCATCCATGGGAAGTTTTACCTTCTTACAACTACGAAAACCTGTGTCCTTATTTTTGAAAAATTTGGTGTGTTTTCCAAAATTTTCATATCCTTTTAGGTTGGAGAAGTTTATTCTGAATGTGATACTTGTCAAATGCTTAAGTGCTAGTCATGTAAATGCCCAAGTCCTTAAAATTTTTCTTTAATGTTAAAAATCTTCACAACTCCAAAAGTGAAAAATTAATTAAAAGGTAAAATGATTTTATAGTGTGTGAGGAGCTCTTCTTTGACTTGAGTTTCTCTTGCATAAAATTATTCCTTTTATTTAATTCTACTGTTAAATAGGATTACTGTACTCAACCATAGTGAATTGAACGTGTGAATCAAGTGTGGTTGCCATGATTTCAAGGAGATCTGGTGAATCATGGGGAGAGACTGGCTTTCATTTTTGTAAGCTCACCCAGCTGGGTTCTAGCAGTGAAGAGGTGTGTAGCAAATACCCATTGAATGAAAACAGATCACAGCACAAATTCATTTTGACCACATATCCCTAATATTTGTATAGAACCTTAAAGTTTAATAATACTATTGTATATATATATATATATATATATTTCCCCACACACACACACACACAAAATGCTGGCCGGTGTAGGGCAATGATTTTTTTTTCTTAGTTTTCCAGATGAGGAAACAGAGGCCTGGAGTGAGATAAGGGTTGAGTCGAAGACCCCTCAAAAGGTCAAAACACCAGATATTTAGTGTTCTTTCCACCTCACCTCTAGGAAAACCATTCACAAATCCTGCCCTCTGGCTAGTGAATCACCCTTCAGAATTACACTGATTCCACAGTGGGAAGAGCATCTGTAGGATGCTTTCCAGGAATACGTCAGAATGATAGAGATGAAGATCATTTTTACGTTCTACTTTCAGATACCGCCGAAGAGCACATGTGACTCCCAAGTCTTATCTCTCATTTATAAATGGTTATAAAAACATTTATACTGAAAAGGTGAAACATATCAATGAACAAGCTGAACGTATGAATATTGGTAAGCAGAATGGAATCTTTATTTATTTAATTAATTTATTTAAGATTTTATTCATGCATTTGAGAGAGAGAGAGAGCGAGAGAGAGCACAAGCTGGGAGGAGAGGGAGAAGCAGACTCCCCACTTAGCAGGGAACCCCATGCGGGGCTCGATCCCCGGACCCTGAGATCATGACCTGGGCCGAAGGCAGCCACTTAACCGACTGAGTCACACAGGTGCCTGGAGAATTGAATCTTTTAAGGGCTTTTTGATAGGAATCCGCACTGGTGGATATTGTGTTTAAAAGCAAAATACTGACTTTACTATTAGTAATAGATTATTTTGAGGGATGCTGTTAGGGTCTTTTACCGTTAAGAAGCTTCCAGGCAGGGGTGCCTGGGTGGCTCAGTTGGTTAAGTATCTACCTTCAGATCAGGTCATGATCTTGGGGTCCTGGGATCGAGCCCCACATCGGGCTCTGTGCTCAGTGGGGAGCCTGCTTCTCCCTCTCCCTCTGCTGCTGCCCCTGCTTGTGCTCTCTCACTCGTTCTCTCTTTCTCTCTCAAATAAATAAATAAAATCTTAAAAAAAAGAAGAAGAAGCTTCCAGGTAGAAGAAAATCTAAAAAAGGAGGTAGACTGTTTCCGCTCTGGAACCATTTTCTCCCTGCCCCTCCAATTCTGGGTCCAGGCTGTTGGGCCAGGAATCCCCATAGTTCCTGAGCTGCTACTGCAGGTGGAGAAAATCCGGCTCTTGGGAACTGACCATGATTTCAGTTTTTGGTTTCATTATAATCAATTTGCCTTCACTTGCATAAACTTTGCCATGTTAATGCTTCTCAAATTTCTAACAAAAGAAAAGGAAAAATAGACAAATCAAAACTGAAAGAGGTAGTTTACCTGAACAATGGATTTCTATGTCCCATACATGTAAGCAGAAAAAGTATAAATTGGAACAATTATGTGTCCAGAAAGCATTATGGCCCAAACAGTCCAAAAAAGAAGTGCAAAAATACCCCTCAACACTTCTTCTGCAAAAAATGTGATCCCATAGCATAACTGAGCTCCAAGGTCTGTGCAGTTATAGTAATGGAAACACTGTGGAAGAAACCGTCCTCTGTTTTTCTCATGGCTCACCTTCTTGTAGCTTTCCATATGATACTCTATAATCAGTGGTGGGCTGGAGATACCTGTAGGCTCTAGAGTTGATTGTTAATTCGTAGGAATTTTATGATCTGGTTATTAAACACATCCTTAATTAAAAATTAAATCCTATAAACTTACAATTAAGTAAATTATATTTGAAAAATGCAAGAACAGGGGCGCCTGGGTGGCTCAGTCAGTTAAGCGTCTGCCTTCAGCTCAGGTCATGATCTCGGGGTCCTGGGATGGAGCCCCACATCAGGCTCTCTGCTCAGTGGGGAGCCTGCTTCTCCCTCTCCCTCTGCCACTACCTCCTTGCTTGTGCTCTCTCCTTCTCTCTCTCCATCAAATAAATAAAACCTCAACAAAAAAAAAAAAAGAAAAAGGCAAGAATACTCAACATTCATCACATCTTAGTTATTTTTACTCTATTTTACTGCTATTAATGTTCCTGAGGTTATTTATTTCTATTCTCTCAGTATGGTAGACATATAATGAATGGTGTGCTACTGGGAGTCTCTTGGTAACTTCAAATCAGCCCTGGTGAGAATACTGACACCATGGAAATTGGGAAATGTACAGATGAGTGTTGCCCTTCTCCCCCAAGAGACTCAGACGCTAAACAGTCACCGACACACCATTGTCTAGAACTCAGTTGGAATGTGAGAAAATCCTGTTAACTGGTTATTGTGCTCTGTGGTGCTGAGAGTCACAGAGCCAGCAGCACAGGTGTTAGCAGCTGTTTTCATTTTCATAACAAAGAGAACCACGTGACTATGACTGTATTATCTGTTCATTTGTCCCAGCTGCAGTGTGATTCAAAGGCAAAAAAAAAAGATATTTACATCATTAAAAATGATGTTTGCAAAGCCAAGGAGAGCACTAAATTTGTCACATAAGTTTCTTGACTCAGTTAATCTTACTCAGTATGGCATTGTGACCTTCCCTTAAATTTAGCTAGTTGGTGCTCTTTCCCCCGCTGCCAAAACCCTCAGAGATATGGTCAGTATCGATGCGCCTCATATATATGTATTTGTCCATAAATAACTATCTGGTGCTTGTAATAATATTAGTTCAATGCCTTAGAAGTAGTAAACTGGATGAAGGGATGTTCAGATACTAAGCAAACGTGTATGTGTGTGTGTTTGTAAAGGTCTTGACAAGCTTATGGAGGCGAGTGAATCTGTGGCTAAGCTCTCTCAGGATCTTGCTGTAAAGGAGAAGGAGTTGGCGGTGGCTTCTGTAAAAGCAGATGAAGTGAGTTGGCATTTACTGTATAACTAGTGGTGAGGAATAGTATTCCACATTTTAAAAAGCATTGTTTAAAAATGTTATGAAAAATAAATAATGTATAAACCCATAGACTATTTCTAGTGAGATACTGTTTACAATGATGATTAAGTATTTTTGTTTAACTTATACCAAGAGTCACCTAAATTATTATCTCCCCTACCTTGTCTAAGACTATTCTTTCTTCTCTGGGTCTGTATCTTTTGTTCTCTCTCATCTGTCTATGAAATGTTTGCCTCTCCCTGTTATATTTGGTCTTCTCTTTGAGGTCCCTGCATGCTCTGAGTCTCTAGAATGGCCCAAATCTCATCTGAAGTTTGTGTCAAGGAGGGAAAAAAACTAAGAGGAATTGTTGGTGGAGTTAAAAAAAAAAATCCTCCTCCCAAGTTGATAGGGATATATGTCTGCTGCTCCTTGATCTGTGAACCTGCCCATCTGTTACTGCTTTCAGCTTCCACTCACTGAGTCGGTTAAGAGTGGATACCTACATCCCAACCCTTAGCCAGTTACTGAAATGAGAGAGATAGCATAGGAGAGGGTCTTAGCATGGTCCCACTGTATGGTAGACACTCAACAAACATGACCTATTTTATTTTCATTACATGGGCATTGATACGGTTTCTGACCTTATTCCATTACACATACTTGAACTGTGTTAATTTTCTAGAAATTACATAGAGTGGAAATACCATTTTCCTGAAAGCTTAAAATGTTTATGTATATATTCTGTATATATAAATATAATATATATTATATCTATATATTTGTAAGCCTCAGGAAAGCTTAGGACATAGAAGATTTCAAGGAACTGCTTAAAGGAGTTACTTTAATACACTTTTAGGTGTATTACACCTTAGGGAATATATAGAAAATATACATAGGGAATAAATTTGCTCTTATTTGTGTTTTATCTTATAGTGAATAATCTCACTGCTCAAATCTGTCAATTTTGCTCAAAAGCTACCTATTTGCCCTCATGTGTTCCCTCAATTTAACAGGTACTGGCAGAAGTCACGGTAAGTGCTCAGGCTTCAGCCAAAGTGAAAAACGAAGTGCAGGAGGTGAAAGACAAAGCCCAAAAAATTGTGGATGAAATTGACAGTGAGAAAGTAAAAGCTGAGACCAAGCTGGAGGCGGCCAAACCTGCCCTTGAAGAAGCAGAGGCAGCCCTGAATGTGAGCATGTGCCGTTACCCTCTCAACACCAGTCCCAGCCCACTCCGTGGGTCGTTCCGTGAAATTCACTGGGCAACTTCTAGAACCTGAAAACTGAATGGAATTCTAATGTGATTAATAATCCCTGAGTCTGAAGACAAATGTTTCTGTTGATTCAATATTCTAAGTTCTAATTTTTTTAAGTCTTCAGTTCTTATAACTTACTAGTTTCGTTCCATAAATCAGCCTTCCAGGACAGCTGAGAAATAATGCGAGTGATTCATGGCCTGAACAATAGCATAAGGGATTCAGATTATATAGAGAGCCTCCCCAGTTCCTCCAAAGCATCTCCTCCAGATTACATTATGTGCCCTTTAAAAATCTCGCGGGTTCTGGGGGGCTCTTAGGATAAGGTCTGTGGTTAGGCATCCACAGCTGGAGGCAGCCTACAGTTGCCTCTCTCAACAACCACTCCTTAAATAGATGATCTGGAGTAAATTTTTTTACCAGTTAAAAGTAAAAAAGTAAACTTTTTTGGATCTCTGTGGATATTATAATTGCTCATTGATCCTTGAAGGATCAATGTAAGCATTAAAAGTAATGAATACAGTTTGCTGGGCACACAGAAAGTACTCAGTAAATATCAGTGCTGCTGTTGAAACTGATAACTGGGCTCCTATCTACCCCTTGAGCCCTTCCATCATTCTGTCTCTACACACAGTATGGTCCAGCCATGCAGAAGCACCCATAGGCTTCTGGAAGAATCATGGTCTGTTTAAATGTGTCTCTCCCTCTGCCAGGAATGCTTTCCCTAACCTTCATTGCCTAATAAGAGTCATTCTCCAGGACCAGGCTCATCCCTTCCAGGAACGTTTTAGCTCTTCTGGCTCTCCCTTGTGTTTCCTGTCACCCCTCTGCTTCTAACATGATGACAATTCTAGTTTAGGGTAATTGTGCTTTCTTTCTCTTCCTTCGAAGATTATGAGGACAGGGCAATTTTTCTTTTCTTTTCTTTCTTTTTTTTTTTTAAGTGGGAGGATCTCTGTATTTGTTGAATGACTAGATTTATGATAATCATTTAATAAAATTGTGACAATGATCAGGACACATTCTCCACCCCCACTCCCTTTATGAGTCCTACAATAATATACAAGAAAGAGAAATCACTGACCAAACTCAGGTGACAGATAGAAACTTTGAAAAATATTTTTGTGAGTCATATGTTATAATAACTTCTCTTTTCTCCTTTGAATTTCTCCCCCTTCTGTAGATAGGGCAGCCCTCAAAAGAACACTGAATGTGAGGTTTCTGATATTCAGAGCCTTCCTCCTCTTTTCATACCACACAGAGTATGTGCTTTGAAGATACAAGTTATCTGAATGTTACCGATCAATGAGGCTTGTTGCCAACAGAGGCTTGGAGTGGTGGGCAATGAATGGTAGTGATATTCTATGCAATTAGTTGAGGGCAACAGGAGAAAAGAGAGTAAAAATGAAGAGAAATCCCAAGATAACAGTGAAAGAACCATTATGCAAAACTCTTGGAATACAAACCCTTAAGGAGATAATGTCAGGGGATGGGGAGTAAATACATTTTAAAGTTTTCTACTTTCATTGTTTAAAAGCATTAGATTTCCATATGATTATTAATACTACTCACCAAAAAATATATTGATTCCTAATCCCAAATACAGACTATCAAACCAAATGATATCGCCACAGTCAGGAAACTTGCAAAGCCCCCGCATCTTATTATGAGAATCATGGACTGTGTCCTGCTACTATTTCAAAAGAAAATTGACCCAGTCACTATGGATCCAGAAAAACCTTGCTGCAAGCCTTCCTGGGGAGAGTCATTAAAAGTAAGTAAAAAATCTTTGCAAGTCCTATAAGGTGCATCAGGTGCCCCCAGCCCAGGACCTTCAATATAGACCACACAAGCTGGCAGGCAGTAATTGATAATTGTATACTGAAGAGTTTTTCTTAGATTGCATCTCCCAAAGTGTAAGTAGGGAAAGATTTTAAAGCCCAGTGGTTTCTTTTTGTAAAAAGTGTCTAAAACCAGAGGCTGGTATTGGCACACTTTTTTTTTTTTTTTTAAGATTTTATTTATTTATTTGACATTGAGAGAGAAGGAGAGAGCACAAGCACAGGGTAGCGGCAGAGGGAGAGGGAGAAGCAGGCTCCATACTGAGCAGGGAGCCCGATGTGAGGCTCGGTCCCATGATCCTGGGATTGTGACCTGAGCCGAATGCAGACATTTAACTGACTGAGCCACCCAGGTGCCCCTTGGCACACTCTTGAAGTCACCCCAACCCAGTCTCCAAAAGGGAGCTTGTGTAGTTGGTAGCCTTCAAATGCACACACTGGACAGGAAACTTATATATCTTTTCTTCTTTACTTTTTCACCATGGTGATGGGAAGACAATTTGCAACTTACAGATTTAGGTCGTCTGGTGTCATAGTCTTGATTTGTATGTTTAAGAGTATATCAATTGTTACTTTGAAAAAATTCAATTTAGAATTATATACTAACTCGGAAAGAAAGTATTTATTTTCTCCCAGAACTTACAGGTTGTAGTGCTATTTTTCAGTTGATGAGTGCAGCAGGGTTCCTGTGGAGCCTTCAGCAGTTCCCCAAGGATACTATAAATGAAGAGACTGTTGAGTTGCTCCAGCCATATTTTAACATGGATGATTATTCTTTGGAAAATGCCAAAAAAGTCTGTGGGAATGTGGCTGGTCTGCTGTCTTGGACCCTTGCTATGGCAACATTTTATGGTATCAATAGAGAAGTGTTACCTCTGAAGGTAAGAGTTTCCCTCCTTCTCCTAGGAGATCAATGTTTAATAAAATCCATCACCAGTATTACTGCTATGAAAAGACAAAGCATAATTTTGACTAAATTTTTTATTTTCTTCATGTCCTCTCACATTTCTCATTTTCTTTACATCTGCCATTCTTGGCATCGCAGACAAGAAATCAAAACCAATTTGTTAAAGAGGAAATGACTTCATTGCCAGTAATAATTAAGCTGTCATAAAGGAAAACCTACCATTTCTTTAAAGTTTAAAGAGGTTAAATTGTTGATTCCCAACAAAGTTTATAAAAATTAAGCTCAATACCCAGAAATGTTTTAAATTTGAAAGATAGGGAAAAAAACCTTATATGCATTTAAGAAACAAATGATCAAACGAACAAAATCAAAAAAGGTTGCAGAAGAGAAATCAGGATGGCACAGACTTCCTGCAACCCTATATATTAGAATGTAATGGAAAAATATGTGCAGAGTATTGAGGACATTGCTGTGGCCCAAGAATGCAATAACTGGCCAAGCTGCCTTCATGAATAAAGGAACAAAAAGACGCTCTTAAGGATGTGATTTAAGTACTGAGTGGTCGGTGAATGCATGCATGCATACGCGCACGCGCACGAGCACGCACACCGTTTATGCTGCTCCAGGCTGTTCTTCAGGTCTGAGGGAACAGAACGACATTCGCAGGAGTGCAAAGGATTCATAAAATACACCACCCAGACGCACGCTACCCTCCTGCACCGCCCCCCTCTGCATAAAGCTAAAAGAGTTGAAAGTGGTTGCTCTGTGGAATGGAAAATGATGAGCTGGTGGGCAGGGGGTTGCTGGTTGTCGTAATAAACCCTATAGAAATGACTGCCTTTTAAAACTCTGCGCATAGGTAACTCGGAGAAAAATAGAAAATATGTTAAAAATAAGAAAGTTTTAATAAAAGGAAATGATGAGAAAATGTAGGAATCCACTCAAACCAAAAGATACCAAGGGATATAGAATTTAAGAAAAAATGCACTCAGAAGAACAGAGTTAATTTTTACTAAAAATTATGATCCACAGTGAAACTTAACTGTAATAATGCTTTTGTAATAAATAAAATATTATCAAATTACAAAAAGCAAAATGCATTAATATTTTAAGTGGAAATTAACAAAAACAATAGTAATTTGAGATTGTGCAGGGCTGGTTTTTATGGGTGTGTGACCTGATCACACAAGACCCCAAGTTTAGAAGGATCCATGCTTGGCTTAATGGGCTGCTGTCACCCTCTTGAAGTTCTTAATAATTTTTTAATAATGGACTCCACATTTTTAATTTTGTACTGAGCCCTGCAAATTATGTAGCTAGTCTTTAGCAGGCATAAACTAATAATTATATAGAGATTTTACACTGTATCATTTTTAAGGTTGAATAGCTGCATTGAACTTTCTTGAATATGAACAAAGAATATGAAATTACTTCTAGTGACTGAGAAACATTTACAAAAATTGATCATACTCAAAGATAAAGGAAGATCTTGATTCAGTTACCAAAAGCAGAAATTGCTGAGGTCTCATTCTCTGATTATAAGCAATAAAATCAGAAAGTTTGCATTAAAAAAAAAAGCCAATAATTTCTTTTTAGGAAATGATGACAAAAGTTAGTTACCAAAGCTTTTGTGATGTGGCCCAATGGCACGTTCTTAGCTCTTAAATTAATTAAACTAAACACTCTAGTACATACTCACTTATAAATACACATACACACAAAACTTAAGGAAAGTGGAATAGAGCTAATAAAAATAACATTAAAAATTAGAGAAAAGTAGCAGAATTGAAGAATGTTGCTTTGCAAAAACAAAATATAAAAGATATGTTCTTGGAAAATATAATCAAGAAAATATGTATAATCACAGATATGTGGATTTAAATAATTAGAAAATTTTAAAGTTATATGTAAATATATTAGAAAACTTAAATTTAATAACAATAATAGTAATACTAATTAAATTAATATTTTCTGCAAAAAAGGGCTAAATTTAAATAATTAAATATTGAGAAAGAAAATGAGACTGTTAAAAAACTTCTACTCCAGGAGGCTTTGGGGCTGCTTTACTTTACCGATTCTTTTAAATTTCTAAGAAACAGATCTTTTCTAAGAAACATAATTTTTAAGTCCATGCTCTAGGACTTAGAAAAAAATGAAAAATCTACCATTACAGTTATTTCACTTCAAAAAATCTTTATGAAGGAAACAACCCCAAATTTTGCATGCCCAATAGCTTTATTTATAATAATTTAAAATGGGGGGGATGTCTAAAAGTAGGGCAAAAGTTAGGTAAATTATGATACATCCAAATAGTGTGATATTATGCAGCCGTATTACTAATACTCATGAAAAAGTGTTTAAGGACATGTTTAAGGGGAAATGATTATACTATATTAAGTGAAAAAGAAAAGAATTGGAAAATGCCAGTTATCACCTTCTTAACACAATACTCAGACTCTCTCTGAGTAAAATCACAGGTAATTTCTGTTATCCTTTCTATGCATTGCTGCATTTTCCCCATGTTTTCTATACTGAACATTAATAATTTAAAAGAAAAAAGAGAGGGGTACCTGGGAGGCTCAGTCCATTAAGTGTCTGGCTCTTGATCTCAGCTCAGGTCTTGATCTCAGGGTCGTGAGATCGAGCCTGGGCTCCACGTGGGTCATGGAGCCTACTTTAAAAAAGAAAAATGAAAAAATAGAACTTTAATGGAATATCTCCAACACTCTTTGTTTCCCCAGATGAACACACTTAAGCCTCTAAATACCATCTTGGGCAAAAATTGTGCAATTCGTGTTATTATTTACCAATAAAACCAAAAATATTTTGCAGACCTACTACCACTCCATGCAGTGACCTCTTCTTCCTTTTTAAGGCTAACCTGGCCAAGCAGGAGGGCCGTCTGGCAGTTGCTAATGCTGAGCTGGGGAAGGCACAGGCTCTGCTCGATGAGAAACAAGGCGAGCTGGATAAAGTACAAGCAAAATTTGACGCAGCCATGAATGAGAAATTGGTGAGATTAAATCTATAAAATTGCAGAAATGAGATGTTAAAATTGTCCACAAGTGTGTGTTGTATTTAGAAATCAGGTAAATGTTGGTGACAAAAAAAATATTTACCTGACTGTCCTTCAGTGTTTGGGATCACTGTTTGTCCAATCCCTGTTTGGGTTTTTTGACACTCTAAGGTCTTTTTGTGTGTTTTTAATAATCATTTTTGGTAAGAGTAAGCTGGGATATCATACCCAAAGGGTCCTGATTTGGAGGTTAGAAAACTGGGTTTGAGATTCAGTGCAGGCACTTAACTCATTAGACAGTTGGAGGCAACTGATGGAGCTTCATCTGTCAAACGGGGATCCTAATACAACCTACAGCCTCTTGGGATAGGTTGTAAGCAGTGGTAGTCTGGTAACAATAGGATCTGGGCGGGAGGGGCCCAGGGGGAAAAAAAGCCTTGATTTGCACTGTTTGCTGATTTCTGTGATGTAGGTCCTCCCACCACTGTCAGTTCTAAGCTACCAACATGCTGACGCTGAACAGAGATTTGGAAACAGATGCACAGCAGGGCACTATTGTCTACTATACTATTGTATATATAGCACTGTTATATACTCTACATTACTATATACCACCGTGCAGGTATAGTGGACTTAACCTCAAGCTCATAGATAATGCAAAAATGTAGTAAATAATTAGGAGGTGATGAGTTTTGATTATTACCTTTGCTCTTAATGTAGTTTATGTTATTGTAAATTTATATAATTTAAAAAAATTTTAAAATTTTTATTGTTATGTTAATCACCATACATTACATCATTAGTTTTTAATGTAGTGTTCCATGATTCATTGTTTGTGCATAATACCCAGTGCTCCATGCAGAACATGCCCTCTTTAATACCCATCACCAGGCTAACCCATCCCCCCACCCCCCTCCCCTCTAGAACCCTCAGTTTGTTTTTCAGAGTCCATCATCTCTCATGGTTCGTCTCCCCCTCCGATTTCCCCCCCTTCATTCTTCCCCTCCTGCTATCTTTTTTTTTCTTAACATATATTGCATTATTTGTTTCAGAGGTATAGATCTGTGATTCAACAGTCTTGCACAATTCACAGTGCTCACCATAGCACATACCCTCCCCAATGTCTATCACCCAGCCACCCCCTCCCTCAGTTTGTTTATGATTAACATAACAATAAAAATTTAAATTTAAACCCTCAGTTTGTTTCCTGAGATTAAGAATTCCTTATATCAGTGAGGTCATATGATTATATAATTTAATTTTTAATAATGTCTGTGTTCAACACCAGCTGGCAAGTCTTCTAAAAATGTAACAATTGGCTCTAGTGAGTTGATACAAATTGGCTGCAGCACATCGCTGTTGTGTAGAATTTTTCTGGGAAAAAAAAAATCACTTTGTAAACTTCCAAGAACTCAGAATTTTTAAGTCCAAGACCTAAAATGGTATATTTTATTGATTTGATTCTATTTTGAAAACATGGAATAAAAATACTATATTAATTTATGTGATTTGGATTCTCTCTCACAAAATCTCTTTCCTTGAAATTTTGTAAGGTAAAATAACTCTATTATGAATTAATTGCCAGAATTTAATGGGTAAAATTTCACTCACATTGTTTTTTTAGACTATATTTATTTTACAAATTAAGAAATTCCTCCCTATGTTTTTATGTATGAATACAATGGATGTTTGATTAAGCACTTAAAAAAGTTCTTTGGGATATTCTCCCTTTATGAATGTAGGATTTGGTAAATGATGCGGATATGTGCTGGAAAAAGATGCAGGCAGCTTCCACCCTCATCGATGGGCTGAGTGGAGAAAAGATCCGATGGACTCAGCAAAGCAAAGAGTTCAAAGCTCAGATTAATAGGTATAAATTTCAGCCTTTGTTATAATTGCTTTCCTTCTTAGTCATCACCCCAAACGCCACCTCTTTGTGACATGAGAGAAAATAAAATACATCTCTCTGGTGAAGTGCTTTGCTTCTTCATTTCCGTATATCCATTTCTGAATCTTTTTTTTTAAATTTTTTTATTGCTATGTTAACCACCATACATTACATCATTAGTTCTTGATGTAGTGTTCCACGATTCATTGTTTGTGCATAACACCCAGTGCTCCACGCAGAATGTGCTCTCTTTAATACCCATCACCAGGCTAACCCATCCCCCCACCCCCCTCCCCTCTAGAACCCTCAGTTTGTTTTTCAGAGTCCATCATCTCTCATGCTTCGTCTCCCCCTCCGACTTACTCCCCTTCATTCTTCCCCTCCTGCTGTCTTCTTCTTTTTCTTTTTTCTTAACATACATTGCATTATTTGTTTCAGAAGTACAGATCTGTGATTCAACAGTCTTGCACAATTCACAGTGCTCACCATAGCACATACCCTCCCCAATGTCTATCACCCAGCCACCCCATCCCTCCCACCCCCCACCACTCCAGCAACACTCAGTTTGTTTCCTGAGATTAAGAATTCCTCATATCAGTGAGGTCATATGATACATCCATTTCTGAATCTTACAGCTGAGGTTACCCACTCTCAGTAAAACAGAGAGGGATTAAAAGGTTGTGAAATATTTTTAATCTCAAGTTTGGTTCAGCAATGTAGGTTTTCAGTACAAGAGTCCTTCTTTTTCTGTTCTTACTTTTTTTGTTTTTGTTTTTGGTTGCTGGGGGCAGGCAGGGGCACAGGGAGAGCGAGAGGGAATCTTAAGCAGGCTCCAATGTGGAGCCAGATGCGGGGCTAGATCTCATGACCCTGTAATCATGACCTGAGCTGAAGTCAAGAGTCGGATGATAACTGACGGAGCCACCCAGGTGCCCCAAGAGTGCTTCTGATATTGTTTGCATTTGCCAGAACCATCTAGATACTTTCTCCAGTTCTGTACTCTTCACCTCAGTGATTTTGAACATGTGGATCAGGGGTTTCCTCTAACTACAAGGCTGTCTTGTGGTAGTGTCTATTGGTGTCCTCAGAAAACTGGAAGAGAGGGGAATGAGAAAGGAATAGAGAATAGCAAGAAGTGGGAGGAGGAGAGGGAGAGCCAGAGGGGGAAAAGAAAATAGTTTCGTCAGGACTGAGTCTAACAGGACCAGGGCATGGCATGGGAAAAGGTTATTTCCTTCCTAGGAGTCAAGTCGCTGGACCTGCAGGCTTCAAGGAAGCAGTCTCTCTCTTGCTCCTTGGCCTACCCCAAACGTGGCTCCTCCTACCACCATTTGGGTTTGGGGGCTCCCTTTTGCATGGTCTCTCCATGTCTGTTTACCATGTGTTAAGGAGGGAGCAGAGAAGGATTTTGCCTAATAAGAAAACAAAGCTGCCCTATGACCTTTTGGACTCATTAATGGGAGAGGGTGAATGTGTTAGCTGACTCACGTTGTTTTGTGTCCCCACAGACTCGTGGGTGATATTCTGCTGTGCACCGGATTCCTTTCCTACCTTGGTCCTTTCAATCAGATATTTAGGAACTATTTGCTTAAAGATCAATGGGAGATAGAGCTGAGAGCTCGGAAGATTCCTTTCACGGAAAACCTGAATCTTATTTCAATGTTGGTGGATCCTCCAACAGTGAGTGTCACTTTCTTCATAATATTATTTGAATTCCAGCCTTACTTACTAAGAAATCACGGTTCACCTATTTTTTTTTCTTTTTTCATTTAATTAAAAAGATTGTTTTGAAAATACTTAAGAATTAACTAAAAAGAAACCTTTCTTTTTGGTATGGAAATTTCTTTGAGTTTTAAGAAATCTTGCTTTCAAATTATCAGTTGCACTGCTGCGAACTAAAAGACCATACATGAGGGTGCCTGGCTGGCTCAGTTAGTGGAACGTGCAACTCTTGATATCAGGGTCGTGAGTTCAAGCCCCACACTGGGAGTAGAGAGTACATAAAAAAATAAAATCTTCCAAAAAAAAAAAAAAGATCATTCATGTATTATAGGCTTGCTAATACTGGGTTTTTCTTTTAACTTTCTATTATTTGCACCACTCCTATTAAGTCACTCTCTTTCAAACATTTTAGGTGATTATAGGCATTAGCTAGGCCATAAGTACTGGTATGAATCTTCTTTTGATCATAAACCATCTTTTTGTCCTGTCCAAGAGCATAGTCCAACAGTATGTTCTGATATCACTGAGTGATGGCCCCACGACACTAACCTTCCTTGCTGGGAATTTGATGCCACTGTCAATTTTCAGTGTATCTTGCAGAGCTCCTATGGCATTAAATGCCTTCTAGGCAATTTGTATTCATGAGTTGCTTTCTGATCTGTAAATATATTCCCCAGTGGCTTTTTCCTTTGGGAAGCCATGCTATTAGTTTCGTGTTATCCGTATTTAAAAGTTAAAAAATTAATCTTTTCCAATTCACACAATGTTCAACTGGTTGTTTCCAGGGACTAGATAAGGTATTAAAGATGCAGTGGACACTGATGAGGCAAAGTGGACCAGGGTATTCCTTATTAGTTGCGGCCTTTGGGGGCTGCTGGGATAATTTAATGAGGGTGAAGGCTGGTGGATTCATTGGATCTTAGATGATTTTACTGACCACGTGGAGGCAGGCTTGCAATTCTCTCATAATTAGGATTTTTTTTTTAAGTTGAGTTATTTATTTTCCAGTGATCTCTACTCCCCAACATGGGGCTAAAACTCACCACCCCAAGATCAAGAGTTGCACACACTTCCGACTGAGCCTGCCAGACACCCCAGGAAATATATTTTTTTAAATGTCATTGATGAGCACCTGCCAGTATAATATCCCTCCTAATTTCTCTGCCTCCAGCTATGCAAATCCTGCCCTCCAAGTAAACAGAGCCAAAGGGCAGGAAGGGGAAGCTTCAGGGGTTTAACCCTTGGTGCTTATCTTTCCAGACATTTTGGTGTATTCTTTCCACTAATCCTGCCTAGTCTGTATCGCACCACTCACCCAGTCTTACCATATTTTAAGCCCCTATGTTCTCTGAATGTTAAGCAACGATGCTTCAAAAATTCACAGATTTTGTAATATTCCCTCATAAGTTTGAAAATGTAGCATAAAGGACTAAACCCTAATCCTGGGTTATTTGAAGGATTTATTAGATTATAATTTTTTTTTAGGTGAATGTTATTTGGGTCACATTTAAAAGTTTTTTTTTTTTCCTAGGTACCCATTGCATAGTCTCAATGGAAAAAAAATATATCCCAGTATTCAATTCTTTTAATATTGTGGCAATTTTAATTATTATGAAAACATTCTTGTTCTCCTCTGACTGGCCATATCCATTTCTTGTTACTTAGATTGGGGAGTGGGGGCTGCAGGGATTACCAGGAGATGACCTCTCAATCCAGAATGGCATCATTGTGACAAAGGCCACCAGGTACCCACTCCTCATAGACCCACAGACTCAAGGCAAAACTTGGATTAAATCAAAGGAAAGAGAAAATGACTTGCAAGTATGTACCATTTGTTGTATGGGAAAGCATTCTTAAAATCATGAATTTTTCCCAAAATTTCAATTGATTCTGCCAGTCATAAAGTCATCTCTGTGATAATTGTTTGTTAATTTATACCCTTGAGTTTTCTTTTTTTTTAAATAATTTTTTTAGTTATGTTAATCACCATACATTACATCATTAGTTTTTGATATAGTGTTCCATGATTCATTGTGCATAACACCCAGTGCTCCACGCAGAATGTGCCCTCTTTAATACCCATCACCAGGCTAACCCATCCCCCCACCC